GGAGGGGAGGGGAGGGGAGGGGAGGGGAGGGACTGTGGTGGATGTTGGTGTTGGCTATGGCCGGATGATGATGCGGGGAAGAGTGATGGTGGCAATCGTCTGGTGGTGTTGTCGTTGATGATGCTTGGAGGAACGTGAGTATAGTGCTCTTTTTAGAGTCAGATAGCGCAACTGTAGACCGGGCATGATGTTTGCACAAGGTTTGTTTGCAGTGTTTGCAGAAATGTACAGATCAGGAACAAGAGGCAAATGGAGCGGGCTCGAGAATAGGGGCCCGAGGTCCATGGAGGGCGATAAAGGGGCCGAAGAGAGGGGGTGATGCAGCTCACCCGTTCAGTCTTTGGTTTCCTCGGGAAGGGGTGTCACTGAAAGAATTTCAGTACGCAGCCTTCGAAACCAATTAAATCGGAGCCGAGTACACGTGTTGCTGCGGCTCCTCGTGCATTTTCAGCTAGAGGTAGAAAGTGGAGTGCCTCATTCGCTGCGGAACAAGAACCGAAGGACAGCCGCGGGCGAGATTATGCAACCTCCGGCCCGAAATAGATACGCACGGCGCAGGACATCTGATCCCAAGATCCAACCTGATGATTAACATGCCTCAGAGATCGCGTACACTTCCGGGATCGAGAAGAAAACACAATCCGGCTAACCCGGTTCGGAATGGCGTACATATTCTGCAGACATGATTTGCTCAACAGGTGGTGTTATTTCCGCGCTATTAATCCCAATGATACCACAGACTTACCAACATCATGATCCACCTCTCGGCGGCTTTGCGCTTGTCGTTACCCGACGCAAGCAGCTCACAAGTCCTTCGCCGAGGATAACCGAAGCCTACGCCCATTCACCACCCTCAACTAACCCTCTCAGGAAAATAGCCACAGCATATGCTCCCGGATCCGGCGGCAACTGTTCTCCTTGCTTCGCTTCTCCAACGTACGTCGCCCTCCCAAACCTAGGCTTCATTCCCGCAGTCCTCTTCGCACCCTCCTCCGCCGCCGCCAACGCCTTCCCCACGTCCCTCGTTGCTCTGAGCGTTTCACACCACGGAATCAGTGTATCCATCACCGTCCGATCGCCGACCCGTGCACCCGTATACACCTCCAGTGCCTCCAGTGCCTCGCCCAATGCGTCGCTGATGGCGCCGACGTCGACTTCGCCGTCAGCATTGACTGCACGATGCAGGCTCCCAGCGAAAGCGGTCAGAAGGATGGACAGGATCGCGCCGAGACTGCCACCCATGTCTTCCAAACTAGAGTTGATGGAATAAAGGCAGGAAAATAAATAAGGGACCTTGGTGATGAATGGGGCTGCTTTCATCGACGCGAGCAGTGCGTTACAGACGCCTGATACGGCCTCCCCACAGTCGCCGTCACCCATTTGGATGTCGTACTTGGTGATATGGGGCTCTGCCGTAAGAGCAGCACTGCATGCGGTACGAAGTGCGTGAAGTAGTGATGGTGGTGCTACTGAAGTTAGTAAAGCCATATTGCATGCAATTGGTCGGAAATAAGGAAAAGGACGTCGGCTAAGCCTAACGTAGGAACCTGTGGGCGAGTTCGTACGTACCTTCCGGGCCTTTGAAGTCAGAGCTACCCTCATCGGCTTCCTCTCGTGCCTTTTCCCGTCTATCAAAGCTTTCCTTGGAGATCTCAACCGGTTGGCCATATCCGCTTCGTGGCCATGCCGGGGCCATGGTTGGTGCATCAAGAAGTCTGAGCAATTCTGAAACCGGCCGACTGACTGCACTGGCAACGCTCGCAAGATTCCCTAAAGTCAAGGAGAATCCTGGACCGTTGAGAGATGTTTCAAACATGCCGGAGTAGATGCGACATGGCTTGATCTTCCAGTCTTGTTCTGCAACGGCTGTCAGAAGCACTGCTGCCAAAAGTAATTATGAACCATGTATGTACCTAGCTGCTCCAATGCAATTTGGGTGAGGGCTTCCAACTCAAGATTGGCAAGCCCACCGAAATTGTTGATTACCAGGGCAACCTCATCTTTCGGGTCAAACTTCACAAAGGCACGGTCCGAGTCGTTAGGGTCAAGCAAGTAAAGCAGCATCTCCTTGATCAGATCGTGAGGGGATGGCATTGGCGAGATCTTCCGCAGGCCCTGTAGGGATGTTATCTAATTGATGACCATTTCAGACGACCATATGAGAGGCTTACGGGCTCGTTGTGGATCCCCATCCCCAAGACACATGTATCCTCCTCACTTTGTTCGTGATGCATTCGGCCAGGGATGTGACAGTGGTCTAGGCTCGTTCCAATGGTAGCCAGTTGTGCATTGACCTCGGTGCCCAGTTTCCAACAATCCTCGAAACTCCAGGACTCATGCGCCGCCGCACCTAGAAGCTTGAGTACTAGCGCCAGATCATCAGTGGACTTCCAACGATTCCAAGTATCGTGTATCTCTCACCTAGAACATTGCCAGCCAAGCCTCTACGCCCCAGCAGCTCGGACTTGCTCCTACCCAACGCAACATCATCCGTCAGTGGGATTTGCGCAATCTTGTGACCAAGAGCGTGCGTCTTCTCCCTCGCCAAGCCGAAATGGAGCCTGTCGCCAGTGTAGTTTGTGATGCACAGGATCACGCCCGCGTCCGAAGGAACGTTCCTGATTGCTGCCATGACCTGCTTCGTCGAGGGGCTGGCAAAGACGTCGCCCGCCACGGATGCCGTGAGCATGCCGTCTCCAACATAGCCCGCCCAAGCAGGCTCGTGGCCGCTGCCCCCGCCGGATATTATGCTGACTTTGGAGGGAGGGTGGGTCTTGGAGAAGACGACACGATTTGCCTCATCATGTTCGAGGTGCGGGTTGCGGGCGACGATGGAATTCAAGGCACGGACAACGACGCCGTTGGTATCGGGGAAGAAGTGTTTGGTCGACATAGTGGAAGCCAGCAGGTGAAATAGTGGAATTTAAAGCTGAAAAAGTGACTAAATGGTGCTGCCACAAGACTGGAAACCCCGCTCAAAGCAGATGTTCCGTCGCCGTAAGGGAGCCGTTATCCGCGGAAGACGCGGCGAGGCATTCGGTGAGTCTGCTGGAAATGCCGACGAAGCTGTTGGGCAGCAGGCTGATTAAAAGGCATGACGGCAGTCGTGTGTCAGTTCTCCGCAGAGCAAGCGGCGGGGTAGGAGCTGACAGCAGGAGTGCCGGAAGAGCTGGATTGGGACGGAAGGGGAAGTGACGCAGGCGGTATGCCGGAATAGGCAACCCGTGAGCGATTCTGGTGCTACAATTGGCCGGCGGATTCGATGGTAGAGGTAGCACGCGGGAAGGCGCGGGGCGCAGTGGTTCCTCAGGCCAGCAGCTGGCCGCGACGCCAGTCAGCACCCTGATGGGCCCACGGCCGATGGCTAGTGCGGCTCTTCAACCACCCTTCTCCCCTCGCCTCACCCGCGGATCCACAATCCACCAAGCCCACGTGTCCCCAACCAAGGGTTCCTGACACGACGCAGCGGCCAAATTTTATCAGAGGTCGAAGGGAACAGTCAGCTACGCGCAGCTTGGAAAGGTGGCTGGGCGCTGCTGCGTCCTTCCTGCGCCGGGTCAAGACGGTAATGTCGCACGGCGACAAGGGCTGGGCCGATGGGCGATGATGAGGTCTGGCGTCTCTATCACGAGAAGCAACCTCAACGCAGGAGTAGTGATGAGGTCTTCTGGTTTGTTCAGGGTTGCGACGGGCACCATCGTTTGGCTCCCGCGCTAGAGCGTCGCCCCGACGCCAGCGATGCGCTAGCTGGTTGCACCACTCCACCGTTGGGGCTTGTGTGGCGATGGATGCCAAACAACGTGCCCGCGACTGCCGCTGGAGACGATCATGTTGGCGTCTCGGACCGTGTCGAACGCGGCGGGACTCGCCAGACGGAATCTGGAGAGCGGTAACAATACGAGGCTGACAGTGCCCGAGGGGCATACGGCAGCAAAACGGCAGGGGGTGCTTGGCGAGGAGGCAGTATGCGGCAGGGCTCCGACTCGAGACCGGGCAAGCAATTTTCAGTGGCTTAACCATCACCGCCATCCGCGACGGGTGCCCGTCTGCGCATCCTTCCCCGCCCCATCTTTACGTGGCGTATGGCCTGATGTGCAAGCCTCGAAACGATGCTTGCGACACCTTCGAGCAGCGGCAACCCCCCTTCCGAGCATGCGCAGCAGCAGCCGAAGCGCAAGCCGCGCAAACCTCGCGGTCGCGGCCTGCGCACGACGACCGGCTGGTGAGTGAGCCCTGCACTGCGCCATCGCCCCAGCCCTTGCGCCGCCAGCCGAGCCCAGCGCACCACCACAGATGGCGTCGCACAGCTCGCCAGCACCATGCTGACTGTGCAGTGCCGTCTGCCGCCAACGCCATATGAAATGCGACGAGGTCAAGCCGATCTGTGGGCCCTGTTCCAAGGGAAACCGCCCTTGCGTCTACCACGCGCCCGCCAAGGTAACCTGCACACCATCCCGTCCCCAACCCAGCCCAGGCCAGCCCAATCCAGCCTCGCGCCTCTCGCGCCCTGTAGGGCTGAGTCCGCCGCGAGCACCACAGAGCCGCCTGCGCCCTGGCCACCCGGCTGCCCGGTCCGCTGCCTGGTTGCGCCTTCCCCAGCCCCAGTCCCGCCCTCCCCCAGTCCCGACGGTGATCCCATGCCCGACCCCCACCGAGTCCCCATCGCTCACAGCAGCAGACCGCACCCAGCACGCAGCCTCCCCCCAGCGCCCCCTCCTCGCGCCCCGCCCCGCCCCCCGCGCAGCTCTCCTTCGAGCAGCCCGCCCTGCATGTGCAGCAGCTGCAGCTGCAGCATCCCCACGTGCCGCCACAGCCGCAGCAGGTCCAGCAGCCGGCGGCCCAGTTCCGGCTGCCCGCTCTCCAGCACGTCTCGCAGCAGCCGGGCGAGACGCCGCAGCAGCAGGCACCCAGTAGGAGCTCGCTCGCGGCGGCGGCACAGGTCCGGTGGGACCCGTCGGTTGGGACCCCAGTGTTGCGGGAAGCCGCCCGCGAGGGCCATGCGCCGGGTGAGGGCCCAGTCACAGCACCCCAGCACATCTCCCCGCCGCTGGCATGGACGGGCCCCGAGGACCAATTGAGTCCGCAGAGCACGCTGAGCTCAAATGCCTACTCTGCTGAGATCGCCCCTCTGCGCTGGTTCGGCCTTCTGGCCGATGACGCAGACAATCTTCACCCTGTAGGGTTCAGTGAGCAGCCGCTCGGTCAACGTTCCCACACGACAGACGAGTCAAGCTTCAGTAGTCTGCGCGCGGCCAGCTTCTCTACCCAGGGCTTTCACAGCCCCGCCGTGTCCGTGGGCACTCCCGTCACCAGCTTCCCGCCCCGCATTGCTTCCACGCCCGGCTCGCAGCCCGAGGCGCCGGTCAGCTCTGCGGAGGTCCAGTGCTGGCAAGGCCCGGTAACCCTGCGCGACCATGAGATTCCCGTCTTCAAGCATTTCGTCGGCAACCTCAGCTTTTGGCTGGACTTGTACGACCCGCTCAAGCACTTTTCCGGCCTCGTCCCGCAGCTGGCAATGAAGAACGAGGGGTTGATGAAGGCCATTTTGGCGCTTTCGTCTCGCCATCTCTCCATCAGACCCGGCATCAACGGCGAGACGATGGACCGCACTGCCGCTGTGCAGTATTATTCCGAGACTCTGCAATACATCCAAGGCGCCATGCGCTACGAGTCGTTCAACCGCAGCCTTGAGTTGCTCGCGACCGCGCTGATTGTCTCCAAGTACGAGATGATCGATGGTGCCGGGAGCGGTTGGGAGCGGCACCTCAAGGGTGTCTTTTGGATTCAGCGGTCGCAAGATATCAACGGCCAGTCTGGCGGGCTCAAGCAGGCCGTGTGGTGGAGCTGGCTGCGGCAGGACGTGTGGGCTGCGTTCCGTGAGCGGCGGCGCTGCTTCAGCTTCTACAGGCCCACTCAGCCCTACCAGCTCCTGGATCAGTACGACATCGCCTCGCGAGCGGTATACCTTCTCGCACAGGCTGTCAACTATGCATCTGATGACGAGACCAAAATGGGCGAGGTGAACTTACAGCTGAGGATTGACCGGGCGGATTCGCTGCTCAGTATGCTAGAGGAATGGCGCATGAACTTGACCGTCCACTTCAACCCATTGCCTTTGAACAGCGCGGAAATTGATAGCAGCAGTCCTTTCAAGCCCATCTGGATAAACCCACCTGGCTTTGGTACGTGACCTTCCAGTATTCATGGAACCAGTCCTCCAGCAACGACTTTCTGCCGGCAGTTGTGACTACCGACTCAGTCTCGGCACGATAGAGACTGCATCTTCTTCTTCTTCTTCTTCTTCAAGAACAATAGCGTCCATGTACATCTAGAGCTGACTGAGCTTGCAGCCGCCGCGATCCAAATGTATCACTTCGCTCGCATTCTCCTCATCGTCCACCAGCCGGCTGCTGGAGGCTATCGCGAGTATCTGGCGCGCGAGAAGGAGCTGAACAGCGGCATCGACACGATCGTCGGCCTCGCCATGAACATCGACTACGAGCCGGCCGAAGTGGTGTCGACGCAGTGTCTCTTTGCCGCAGGGCTGTACGCCAACGAAATGTTCAAGCGCGAGAAGATTTGCGAGCTCATCGAGAAGCATCAACGAAGCACGGGATGGCCGGTGCAAAGCCTTGCTGAGGAGCTACGAAATGAGTGGGCCAGGACCAGACCTCCTTGAAGTTGATGATTCCGGAAACTTACCATTTGCTTTTTTTTCTGGCTTGGCGATTTATAGATACACGCCCTTCGAAGTCAACTTCTGCGCCCGCTCCTGGGACGCAGGCTGGACCGCAGTCCGGAACCAGCTCCTGACGACAGCTCCTGAATCGTTCGGTATGCACGCATTTTTCCATGACGGTCCGTTATGAAGGGTCGATTGGCGGGGCATTGCCGCGAGGGGATGCCAGTGCGCAAGCTGACTTTAGGCTCGGCTGTGGTCGAGAGCCATGAGGTGAATAATGGCAAAAGGCATGTTTTGAATGCAAGGGCAGCACAGGGAGTGCAGGAGGAGTTCTGGTTTGGAGCAAATGTGCGGGTGTGGATACTGTAGCAACAATGTACAGCAGGGAAATGGAAGGACAGTTCACGAACAATTGCGGAGACGAGGGATAGGCGGGCACGGGGCTCAGGTGATAGTTGCGTCAGAGTGAAACCCATGATCTGCAGTGCAAGCTCGTGGCGCTGGCGGTCCTAAGTAGCAAATGCACAGGATGGCGGAGCGACGATACCTGTTCCTCATGGAATATGCGGCCACAAGGCCGAACCGTGTTTCGGCGCCATGTGCGGCTAACCAGGGTCCTGGATCTTGTCTTGGATTGCCGGATCTGCTGCCACGGTTCGGGCTGGCGAGCTGTGGACCGGGGCCTGCGCGGACTTCTGGCCGTGACCGGGAAACCGGGGAAACCAAGCCACACGGCCACGTTCGATCGCGGGCACATTTGCTGACTGTGTGCATCCCAGGACTAGAGAGCTTGGCCTGCCGACGGCGCGAGTTCCAGAACCCCCAAGAATGACTTACCACGCGCCCGACGCTCACTATTCCCGCCCGGCTTCTGGAACCCCCCCGCATTCTGCCGCTAAAACACTCGGTGAAAACCTGGGGGTGGGGTAACGGGGTCGAGGGCACGGCAACGTTTCCGTCCCGGAATCGTCTCCTGTGGGCTGATTAAAGACCCCTCGCTACTCTTTACGAGGTCGAGTATGACGGTTATGCCTTGCTGACTATTCATTTGTTCACTTGCAACCCGCATCGCCTTATCGTCTGCGCCATGTATATATCAGTCGCCCGTCGCATGGCTACCATGTCGCACAGCCTGGGTTCCTTGCGCCGGCAGCAGCAAGAGTGGAGCCGCAGCCGCTGTTATCAAAGGTGGGGAAATAAACAAACCTACTACTTCACGCTCTTGAAGTCCGTATCCTTACCAGAGAGTAACCTCATCTCGCTTTGACCTCGCGCCTCCCAGACGACAATTCGCCATGCCGACCGACACGCAGCCCAGCCTTCTCCACGGCCTCTCTCTCCCCCTCCCCCTCCACTCCATCCCCATCGTCGTCGTCGTCGTCGTCGTCGTCGTCCTCGTCGTCCTCGTCCTCATCCCGCTCTTCCTCCACCACCTCCAGCGCCATCCGATCCCCAGCCCAGCCAAACCCAACAAAAACAAGAACAACAAACCCCCCACCACCAACCCAGACACCACCAACCCAGACACCACCACCCCCACCCCCGCGCCAGCGCCCTGCACCCCCAACCCCCTCGCCGCGCCCCCCGACGCCTGGTACCGCGACCGCTCGCTCCTCGCGCGCGACAAGACCTACACCCCCACCATGGCCCTCCGCCGCTGCCCGCCCGACGACTGGCTCCGCATCGACGCAAACTACCCCGCCCGCATCGCGCACAAGCGCAACGTGCTGCGCCGCCACGGGTGGGATCCCAAAGGCGGCGCCATGGCGTGGTCTTGTCGTCTCTCCGGGGTGCAGGCGCCGGAGGAGGAGGAGGAGGAGGAGGAGGATCTGCGGGTGCAAGGCGCGGTGGTGGAGTTGTTGGGGGTGCTGGTGGGGTATTTGGTGGGGAGGTTTCCGACGGTTTGGGTGGGTGAGGGGGAGGGGGAGGGGGGAGGAAGGGTTAGGTGGTTGAGGAGTTTGGTGACGGGGGAGAGGTTCGAGGTCGTGGAGCCGTGGGGTGGGTTGAGCCCGTTGGAGGTGGTGGCGAGGGTGACGGAGGAGGATTTGGCGGTGTTGTTGCCTGGGAGGGGGGAGGGGGAGGGGGACGAAGACGAGGACGAGTACGTGCTCATGGCGGCGGTCAGCGCGTTTCCGGCGGGGTTCGATATACAGGAGAAGATGGGTCGGCCGCTCACGGCGATTCATGAGCCCGTGCCCATGTATAAGGAGAAGTTGAGGAAGGCGATGAATAGGTGCGTGTATGATATGGTCGTGGACTTTGCTCGCTCTGGAGTGACTGGGCTTCTGTTGGTGTGTTGGCTGATTATCGGCAGGTTCTTCAAGAAAATGACGGCCGATCGGCTCGTGATGCGTGTCAATTGGGGCATCAATGAGCGGGAAGAACTGTTCTTCCTGGATGGCACGCACCTGTACGAAGGAGACGAGGCGTCGTCGGATGAGAATATCGATATCAATCAGGTCCAGCTGCGTGTCGAGAGGCAGGTACTGCGCCGCTTGCCGAGGTCTGGGGCAATTTGCATGTTGACGAAGACGTATGTTAAGCAATTCACAGCATCTGGGAGCGGAATCGATACATGGACTGACACTGCACGCAAACAGCTACCTCTACCGGTTGGTCGACATTGCTGAAGAACCGGGAGTTGCAGAAAGGCTCAGTGGCATGCTGCACAAGCTGCCCGAGAAGTTTGCATTCTACAAGCGCAAACCTGTGTGGGGAAAGGTCGTGCTGGCATACCTGGACGAAATGGCGGCGAAGTACCCCGACCTGGCCGCTAATGATGAATAGATGAGATATCACCGATGTTTTGTTTGCTGCCAAAGTTCTTGTGAGTGCATACCTCCCAGCAATGACGGCGTGTCGATGCATGTGTATTGATGTGGACAGATGAGATTTATCTTAATTGACTTTGGTTATTGAGCCGTTCTAAAGCATCATAGCGTGAAAGGCTTTACCCGTGCTTGTTGTGGCTTAGTTGGCACTCTATTTGCCGCAATTGATCTTCCGCAGGAACGGCGGGCCGTCGGTCGACCACGGACTATAACGCTCCACATTTACCAAAATGACTGGAGGCGCTCACGATATAAGGCCTGCGAAAGCCAAGCAAATACGCATCGCTCTTCCTACGCAGTCCATTCTACTTCTTTGTTTATACTTTTTTCGCTCGCTATTCAACATGCACTCTTTGAACGTTGCTGCGGTCGCTATCGGCCTTCTTACCACTCCAGCCCTCACTCAGCAAAGCGCATATGAGCAATGTACGTATTGCACCATGTGGAGCTTGTAGTTATAGTCGGCTGACATTGCCAGGCGGCGGCACTGGTTACTCGGGCAGTTCCGATTGCGTCTCGGGTACAGTCTGACCTTGAATAACTCTCGAATACTTCTGGCTTACTCAACGACATTCAGGATACGCTTGCACAAAACTGAGGTAACTCCCACGAGCGTTGAGAAAAACATCTCATAGATACTTGTAACTGACTTCCCTCCCAGTGATTGTAAGACAAAATCTCCTCCCCCAACGCACACACTTACCGAAAACCGACCCCCCTAACCGAACTCTCCTTCCCCTCCCCCCAGACTACTCCCAGTGCCAACCCGGAACCGCCTCCACCACCCTCGCCACCGCGACGAGCACGACCGCCGCCGGCGGCTCCACCTCCACCCCCACCACCATCGTCACCGCCCCGACCAACGGCAGCGCCGCCACCGGCCCTGGCACCACCCTGCAGGACGGCTACCTCTGGATCCGGGCCGTCGAAGACCCCAACTTCCACAAATACCTGCAGTCGGCGCCGCTGTACTCCTCCGGCGCCGCCGTCATCGACGTCTACACGCAGGCGGGCCAGTTCAACGTCGACGCCGACGGGCAGCTCGTGCAGCTGGTGTCGGGGGCGGGCGAGACGCCGGCGAAGCTGCTGTACGCGCACGTGGCGGGCGGGGCGACGCGCGACGGCCGCACGCTGGCGGTGACGTTTGCGGCGGAGAAGGGGGCGTACGGCGCGTTTGCGTGGCAGGGCGACGCGCTGACGTGGGAGGCGGCGAACGTGACGAGGCCGAACCTGAGCGCGTGGTATGTGTGCGAGGGGCAGGCGCTGTTTGTGAACTTGGGGAATTATTTGTATGAGACGCCGGATGGGTGTGCGGATGAGACGGTGAGTTTTTTCTTCTTTTTTTTTTATCGCCCGGTTTTGAACGCTGTGCTTTGGCGACGGCATAGAAGTGGAGGTCGGGATCTGAGGCGGAGGTGCTGATGGATTTGCAGATTCACTATTACAACGACAAGACCGCAAACGATTGATGTTGTTGGACGAGGAACCAGGATATCGGATGCGCGTCTCTTTTGGAAGGGCGAGTTATGAGATCGATTAGGGACGAGCAATAAATGCAGTGGCAGACCAGTCTTTTTTGTTCAGTCGGTTTACGTAGATAGCACATTTTGGGCTTCCACCGATGTGTTCTCTCGATCCCTACGGTCTTAGCACGGTAAGTGTGCGCTTGTCATCTGTTTTCTTTGCGTCAGCTAGTATATCGTAAACAGGCATGCCGTGTTTTCAGTCCACATTTATTTACCTTTTTCTTGATCATGGAAGCGCCCTTAAGTTTCTCTGCTCCCACAAAGCAGCATGTGTTGGTCTTTTCGACGAAGCTCTCATATCCTTCGCTCAATTCTTGCGCTGAAGGTCTTGCCACTGGGTTTGTCACCTTCCTGCGGTCCATAGTAGAGTTTTAAAATGAATCACTCGAGAGATCTCACAGCATGAAAGAAAAACAACGACAGTCAACATGGCCATTGACTCACGGATATACAAACGTATTTCATTGCTGATAAATGACCCCTAAACAAGTGATGCCAGTAGGTCGAACTCGAATGCGAAGTTACCTAGCTTCCTTTTTCCTTTTTTCTTTTGAACATATGGAGTAAATCTTCCCATCATCGGCTCAAGTTGACGAAAGAGGCTTCTTCTGCATCGTCTGCTTGAAAACCTGGAGCGCAAGCTCGGGCTGGTAGTATGGCACCTCGTGTCCTGCCTCGAAGACGCGCAGGAACGAGAAGTTGTCGACCGTCTTGAAAGTACCGCCCTCGGCGCCACCGACCGTGTATGGCTTAAGCGCGGCGGCGCGGAACTCGGCCTGGCCGTCAAACTCGACGACCTGGGCGACGTCGTAGTTACCCATCCAGTTGCAGATCCAGTCGGCGTCACCGGCCCAAACGACGGTGCTGATTCCCGACTGCACGACGGAGCTGAGCTCGGGCAGGAAGGAGCGCGGGTTGTCGCCGGTCGAGGAGAACTTGTTGTACGCGGCGTTGGGGCACTCGGCGTAGGTGGAGCGCGCGCCGATGGCCTTGACGACGTCAGACCGGGCGAGGTAGTCGGCGTAGGTCTCGGGCGGGTCGGTGACGCTGGCGCCGATGCGGACGTCGTAGACGTTGAAGTCGGCCTCCTCGGTCAGCGGGCCCTCAATGCCGTTGTAGCATTTGTTGTCGGCGTTGACGCAGGCCGTGTTGGTGCCTGTGCTCTCGCAGCTCTGGATGGCGGGCAGGCAGGTCTTCGTGTAGGTGTTGTAGTACGAAGTGGCTTCGGAAGCGCTGATGATCTGCTTGTAGCTGTTGTTGACGCTGTAGTCGATGTAGGCCTTCTCCTGCAGCTCGGCGTCGATCCAGCCGTTGTTGACGCCAAGGGCAATCAGGTTGATGTTTTGGCCGTCGACACTGCCGCTGTCAATGCCCTTGTTCTGCTCCTGGATGTAGCTGGCGAACTCGGGGCCATAATGACCGCCATACTGGAGGAAAGGTCAGCAAGTGTCGATTGAAAGACGTCAGTGCAGACTTACGGATTCGGTGAAGATGCCGAAGTCCCTGCTTTCGTACTGGGGGAAAGCGTCATAGAAGGCCTGGATGAGCTTCCACACGTACGGAGCAGCAGTCTCGGTGGAAGTGACATCGTCTGTCCCGTACGAGAAGCCAACGCCGATGGGCTGATCAATGTAGATCATGTTGGCGTACGAGTTCCAGCTGTACTCGTTCAACGAGGGCTCGGTGGCGCCGTCGACGAAGTGGCAGGGACCGTTCTCCTGGAAGAGGCCAATCATGCTGGAGCATCCAGGGCCGCCGTTGAACCTATGGGGGTTTCGTTAGCAATCCTCAGTTTCGAAACCGGGGGCCGTGAAACTTACCAAGCGGCAAGCGGGGCAGTGGAGGGGTTTTCTCTCGCCTCAAACAGCCAGAACCTGCACGTTTCGTTAGTGTTTCGAATTTCTTTCAGCGGCGGGGCGAGGGTGACGTACCACATGTTCATGTTGGTGCCAACCGAGAGGTAGCCGGAGTACTGGTTGACGCCGGGAGTGGTCTCGCAGATGCCGCTGTTGTTGACAAACTCCAGCTTCGCGCCGGTGGCAGCGTGCTCGAAGACGTTGTAGCGCACGCCATCCTTCTCGACCATGGAACGCTTGTCCACCTTTTCGGCAAAGGGAGCAGCCCAGGCCAGGTTGGCCACGGAGAGGAGCGAAGCCACAACAGCGAACGAAGACCGCATTTTGACGGATGAGGGACGAGGACGAGCTTGTGGGCTGCAGATGGGAATTCCGGGGAGGCACGGCGGCATTTATGGCGGGCCCACGGGGCAGCGGCTAGGTGGGAAACGAGGCATGATCTGCTGTATAGTGACCTAGACCTGACCAAGCAGGTGTTCGGGATGGAGCAGGGAAGCGGCTTCTAGAAGACGTTGTGGCTCGTGATTGCAGCAGACACGGCGGGTGTTTACATTGAAGCAACGGCCAAGGAGCGAATGAGAGGCTTCGCTGTGTCAAGCATTGCGGCGCCGAGACGGAGGAGTTGACCGAGAGCGCCAATGGCCCTGGATCGGATGGTGGCACAGACATTTCAGGAGACACCAGCGTGCTGGGCGGCGGCGATAAGCAATGCCCCTAGCGTGCACACCTGCCCGTTGCGGCCTAGCGCGTCTGCCGTCGGGCCTACGCCTGCTCCGCGCTCGTTCTTCCCCTCTCCGTCTCCCCCCACCACCAACTCTCTTCATTTGTACCTGCCCTTTGCGGGGTATTCTCTCTACGCTCGCTTAAGCCCGCCGCTGCTTTCTCGGTGGCCTCCGCTCTGTATACGAGTCGCCCCTCACTGAAACTGTCAGGTACTTCATTTGCAATGCCCAAGTGTGGCCATCGCCCACGATCTTCAGGCCCACTAAATTCATTGGATCCCTCGTCCCGTGGGGGCCTTGGAGCCTCCATCGAAAAATGCCTCCAAGCACAGGTCGTCATTCTCCAGCTCCTGTTCGAGGACGCAGGAAAGCGAAGCTGGAAAACTCTGCTGCAGTTCCACTACTTCTCTGGCCGCTTGACAGACCATCACCACTGGCTAGTCTTGCAATTCCCTGAACGACTGGACCCGGCGCCCGTCACTCTGGGTTTCCATCATATGGTGCCATGGGCGTCCTCGACCGATGTACTGCCTGTACCGAGTGCACAATTCCTCGTTCACGTGTGAATAGATATCTCAGCCACCGAGATAGCTGGGGTCCTCACCGCAAGGCAGACCGTGTCTGAAGTGATTCGGTGCAGAGATCGCCAATGTCAACGTCGGTGGGCTGCAGGACATCGTCTTGAACCACTCTGTCATCTGGTCGAGAGGAACTTGACGAATCCAGAGTCGGGCGACACGTTGAGAGGGCCGTAGAGGGAGCCGGAGCCAGCGGCATCAGCGACCGGATGACGCCGGCAAGAAGAAGAAGAAACGAGATGCCTCGAGCGATGTTCCAGACATAAGCCCTGTGTCGGACATCCAGGCTCCACGGACACGGAGTCAGCGTTGCTAAGAAACCGTCTTGTCACTTTGTCGGCCCAGCCAACAGGCGACCGAGTAAGCTCCAGCGCGATGAAGAGAAGGACGGCTTGAATGCCTCTACAATGCGGTCTCTCGTCATCGTTGAATTGCTGCACGGGCATGACGAGCCTTTCTCCGGGTACCTTCCCGCCTATTCCGCTGATCCGCGAGGGTTCTGGAATTCAACAATCGACGTGGCTCTGTGGCATTTGTGGCTGATTGACCGGGCGGAAGGAGCCGTTGTCTTGACCTCTCCTCAGCAATAAGCCCACTATACAAGGCCACTACACCTTCCATAACGGGAGACCGATCATTCTAGGATCGACTGACGGAAAGTCCTTTGGGTTCCAGGCTTAGAAATGCTCTCCTCTCAAGAAGGGTCCACGGCATGCTTCGCCACATGGACCGTGTGAGGGTGGGCTCACTCTTTCTTCTATTCTTATTCAGATGTACGAGGCTGCGCCCATCGATGTCGGAAGTTCGGAGCCATTTGCGCTTGGCATAAGCACGTGGCGTATACGTCTTTGTCACCACGTTCCTGCTTGGCCCAACAAACTCTACGTCAGCGGATGCAGAGACCTATCGCTTTTTCTGGAGAAAGCCAAGCGTCAGCACTACGGCTTAGATTTAGCAGCCGTGTTATTGTCTCCTGCCGGCGGTCTGACGGGCTGCATTGGTTCGCACGTTGAGCAAAAGGTAGGGCGAAGACAACACATGACTGAACGGCTAAATTCAGCTGTGTATAGACTATCGGGTCAGAATGCCTCCAACCGGATCACTTCGCTTTCGTTTTTTTTTTCGTTTTTTTTTTTTTGGAACGATGCTTCTTTTCGACATGCTCACTTGGCCCCTCCCGAAGCTTTGCGGACCGACCTTCAGAGTACGGGTCGGCATGCCGAGCCATCAGGCTACGGATGCGGCTTCCCGTGACAGGTTACACGACCAGAATAACCTTCTCCGGGCTGTGACACGCGCAATCGCTTTTGATGACTTGCGTCGACCCGACAGCAGCACGGGATTTAAGCATGTCGCTCGAGGTGCTTACTGTTGTGCTACAGAATTACTGCTTCTGGCTACCCTTAGCGAACGGCGCACGTAATCGACATTGCTTGCTCTGACACGCTTCGTCTCTTGACCTGTCTGCAGCGGCAGCACCAGCAAAACCTGGTATTCGGTGTTACCTGCGAGCGCGGCGGCGGTGTCGTCACCGTTCTAATCAGACAGCTGGGCAGGGATGGCCCGAAATAGAAGTGCTATCTGAGTGGAGAGCTCGGGAAGCTGGCCGCAAGCCGGACGGCTCAGGCTGTGTGCTCTGACAGCAGGGCTTCATGACGAGGGCTAGATAGGTGGAGTGATCATAGGCTCTGCAAAGTTAGCCCCAAGTCGAAGAGATCGGCATAGCAGCTAGATCCTTCGAGGCAATGCCGCTCGGCGACAGGCAGCAGGCCACAGGCTGCGCTCGGCACTCGCAGCAGCATCGGGCATCCGGTCTATCGGCTCCTCCCACGCCGACAGTCAAGAGATCTGACGCCGTCTTGGCTCGGCCGAGGTGGTACGTAGACTACTGTTGCCGTCAGCGCAGAACCGAATCTGGAGAAGCTGCCGGTCGCCGGCAGCCCGTCCTCAAGCCACGACGCCGCTCACTCAGCTTTCCCCGCGCTGCTTGCCGTTTCGCGTGCTCCCACGCGAGCTGGCTACACCGATCGCTGCCACAGCTGCCGCTTTCACTGGGCAGCCTTACCGGCACTTGCAATGCTCGGCAGCGCCCGCTTTGCAAAGAGGATCGCCTCGGCGCCTGACCAAAGTGGGTTGCCCAGCTCCTCCGGAGAATTCAAGAGGGGCGCCGTCTTCTTCTTCCCTGCACCCATTTCCCCTGCCCCTCTACACGCGTCACGCTGTGAACTCGTGCCGCTGAAGGGGCTGCCGTGTAATCGCGACCGACTTTGAGTGTGGCACTGCGTCGTCGAGCAGCCGGCCTCTCCCGATGCAGCTGTCACACGCCTGCCAGTGCATCCATACCCCCGCCACCCTATGCACAATATGCAGGCCAAGTCAGCCACATCTGCGTCGACAGGGGTACTGCTCATCGATTATGACAGCGCTGCAGGGCTTTCCAACAACTTGGCCACTCGCATGCCATCGTGAGGCCACCAAGTATCTACGTCCTATCTTCCTTCCGGGGGGCGATCGACATCCCTTCTCTCGTCGCACTGTGCGGAGCCGAATGCTGTGTCGCCGACTCGCCGACGAGAGGCTCTCAAGCTCAACCATGATGTTGGATATAAAGTTGGGCGGCACTCTTGCCTATGGCTTGAATTGTCCTAGATGCTCCACCAAAGCCTCTCGCTGTTTTACCTTCTTTTACAGTCTCGCGGTTCCAGGAACGCCACTTCTGCGCGGCCAATGTGCTAGGTGTGCTCGTCCATCTTGTCCATCTAATCCTGCCTCGACGCCGTATTTCGAACACGTCTCTTATCCTCTTTTTGGCATCGTTTCACCTCTCATAAGCTTATTTGCTGCGCCTATTTTCTAATACCGCGCCGAAATAATGCATCTAACTCAGTTGATTCCAACGTTTGGGCTGTTGGCTGTCGCCGTCAGCGCCGCTCCCACCGGTGGCTCAGCCTTTCCAAACAACTTTGACGGTGATACCGCCGGACTCGGAGACTGGGCGAAGAATGCCTTCGACGTAGCCAAAGGGGGTCTGCTGACTGATGGGACTTGTACTCCCGACAAAGTGGTTGTCCGCAAAGAATGGTAAGTAATCACATGGCCTACCCTTTCCCCACTCTCAAGCCTTGCGTTTGTTACTACACTGTCATCATTATTTCTTCATGTCCAATCATCCTAGCCTCGACGTATCACCCTTCATGAATCTTCTTACATAGCATCCACTTCCACTTCATGGGAGCTTAGACTAATGCACACCACAGGGGCGCCATGAGTGCTGAAGAGCGCATCTCCTACACCAATGCTGTGCAATGTTTACAAAGCAAGCCAGCACGCACGCCCTCCCATCTCGCACCGGGTGCCAAATCGCACTTCGATGACTGGATTGTAGCACACATCAACCAAACCTTCATCCAGCACTACACCGTAAGTCTCCTCCTCATCCCCCCCAATTTCTCTCATCTACCTTACCAATCTCCCGTATGTTTCTGTCACTTTCCCTCTTTTGCTAACACAAACCTCACAGGCCACCTTCCTCAGCTGGCACCGCTGGTACATCTGGGAGTACGAGCAAGCCCTTCGCAACGAATGCGGCTACATCGGCCGGCAGCCCTACTGGGACTGGACCAAGACCGCCGAGACCGGTCTCGAAACCTCGCCCATCTTCGACGGTTCAGCCACGTCCCTCGGTGGCAACGGCGAGTACATCCACCAAACCGGCGACGTCGTGATCGGCAACGTCGGCGAACACCCCGTCCTCCTCGCGCCAGGGTCGGGCGGCGGCTGCGTCAAACAAGGCCCCTTCTCCAACTACACGGTCAACCTGGGGCCCCTCAGCCTGTCGCTGACCAACGGCAGCAGCGTCGGCAGCTCGCTGACGGAGGACAAGAGCGACGACTTCTCGTGGAATCCGCGCTGTCTGAAGCGCGACCTGAGTGATGCCGTCAACAAGCGCCATGCCAATGCTACGGGCGTGCTGAACTTGCTGCGCAAGACCAAGGATGTTTACGATTTCCAGATGACGATGCAGGCGTATCCCGGGACCGGCGAGCTCGGCGTCCACGGCGGTGGCCATTACAGCATCGGTGGTGACCCGGGGAGGGATTTCTACGTCTCGCCGGGAGAGCCTGTGTAAGTCTTTTCTTCCTTTATCTTCGTTTTTTTGGGGTAGTAGAAGAAGTGGAAATGGGACAGTCTTTGCTGACCATCACTCAAACCAACAGGTTCTACCTTCACCACGCCATGGTCGACCGCACGTGGTGGTTGTGGCAGATGCAGGACCCGGCGGAGCGCACCCAAGGCCCCAAGGCCCTCATGGGCACCGGCACCTTCCTCAACAGCCCGGCCAGCCCCAACATCACCTACGACGACTGGACGGACCTAGGCTTCGTGACGGACAAGAAGCTCCAGATCAAGGACCTCATGAAGACCACCGCAGGGCCGTTCTGTTACGTGTATGAGTAAGAATGGGCGTAGCCGGGCTTGATCACACTTACCCCTTTCCTTTGTAGGATTATGGGGGGTCACGTCTTTATTAATCCACCGTTGATTTTTTTTTTTTTTGGTTTGGTTTCTCAGAACGACCTTAACGACATCAGGGAACATGAGAAATTGCATGGCAGTACTGCCAAACGGATTTGGGCTGTAGAGACATAGATGGCGAAAGGGAGGGAGAGGGAGATGGGGCAGCATCATTCGTTCACATCATACCCACTGCATTAATATCAATCCAACAATACACAGGGCTGACACATAGCCTCGACTTTGGACTTATGACCTCCGCGCCTACTCCATACACAGCTTCTCATGCACGAAACAAAGCCAGACAGTGCTTTTGTGATTTCTTTTTTCCCAAGTCAACCCACCTTTTCCCTCCTCAAATCATTGATAACCATATACCGCCCGATCCCGATCCACCCCCACCGAAACCACACCATCTGGCTCTTATGCGCCTTCACCATGGCCCCCTGCGCGTTCCGCACCTCCCCCACCCCACTCACAAACATCAACGGCGACGGAAAACTCGCACTCCCCTTCTCCCCTTTCTTCCCCATCCCGCCCATCCTCCCCCGCTCCCACAGCACCCGCAGCACCGTCGCCGGCGCATCCAGCACGCTCGCATACTTGCGCGCCACGTTCACCGTCGTCAGCGTGTACAGCTTGACGGGGCAGTCCCACCCGGCGTGCCGCTGCATGAGGTGCCGGAGGAAGGCGTGCGCGCCGTGGTAGAGCGAGCGGTGGTTGGGGTGGCCGGACACGCCGCCCGCGTCGAAGGTGACGATGGCGTCGATGGTGGCGTCGGGGGCGCGCGTGGCGGGCGTGGCGCCCATGTCGGGCGCGAAGGCTTTGGCGAGGAGGGCGGAGACGTCTTTCGCGGGCCAGGTGGCTGTCATGGAGTCGGGGAATTTGCTGGGTAGAGAGAGAGAGAGAGAGAGACTTTGTGTTAGCGGGGGAGTTCGTGTGGGTGGGTGGGTGGATGAGATGTGGATGGGGGACTTCCCGCAACGCACGCACCTGTCTTCGATGACGAGCATGTCGTCCTCGCTGCGCAGGCCGAGCAGCATGCCGCTCTTCAGCAGCTCCTGCTTGCGCGTCTCGCCCAGGCCGTCGGCGTCCCCGCTCGACAGGCACAGTATCTTGACGTGGTTGCCCAGCTCCGGGCGCGTCAGGGCCTGGAGCGTGGGCGCGAAGAACATGGCCTCGTCGTCCGGGTGCGCGATCAGCAGCGCGATGCGCTTGCCCTCGAGCGTCGGCATCGAGCGGCTCATTTGTAGCGTGTACATCCACAGCGCGGCGGCGAGGACGGGGAAGGCGGCCCAGGTGAGCCACGTCGACATTCTGGAGGGGAGCTGTTTCTTGCAAACGGGAGAAAGACGGATGAGCTTCAGCGCTCAATGGCTGGAGGAGGAGAACGGCGGGAGGAGGAGGAAGAGGAGGAGGCGGTGATGGTGGTGATGACCTTCATGATTGTTTATGTTTTAGCGAGCTTGTCGTAGCTCCGGCTGAATGGGAGAGCTGGTCGTCTGTCTGTCTGTCTGGACCCTGGAGACGTCGTTACCTGGTCGCCGGCCCGATCGTCGGGTGTGTTTCTCGCGGTGGCCTGCACTTGGCAGTCGGGCCGTGTCCGCGGAGCCGCGGGGGAGAGTGAGCTCGCTCGTTGTTTGGAGCAGCTAAACATAGCTCCTGCGTGGAGAAAAAGCTCACCAGTTTCCACACCACACCACACCACCAATCAACCCCCCTTTCAATCGCCGTCGGTCCGTATACATAACTCCCACACTACGTCTCGAAAGCCATTCGCCATGGCAGACGATCAGCCGCAACCCCGCAACCGCAAGGAACGCCGCGCCGCCGCCAAAGCCTCCGGCACGCCTCTCTCCTCCGCCAAAGCACCCAAGCCCGCCGCTCCGACCGCATCCAAGCTGGACTTCTCCCAATCCACTCCAGCCGACAACGCCTCCTCGGCCACCGAAAACGACCTCGGCATCCCCATGGCGCTGCCCGACTTCTCCGGGCCGAAGGGCAAGACGCTCTACGAGATCGCCGAGGAGCGCATGCGCGAGCTGCACCGGACAGGCAAAGACGTGTCGAGCCTGGAAGGCGAGCGGGTCGAGTTCCCCGTCGATGGCAAGGGCGATGCGATGCGGGTGTCGGGCGAGGACGACTTCGGCCCCGTCGCCGAGGCGCTGCTGTACGCCTTCACGCTGACGGCGCTGCACTTCACGCTCGACGTGCTCGTGCACAACCAGTACCGCGAGCGCATCGCCTGGGCCGAGATCTGGCCGCGCACCGCGCAGGTCGCGCCCATCCTGTGGCTCGTCGTGTACATGTTCAAGACGCCGACGGCGATGCGGTTCCCCATGCTCAGGCAATGGGTCTTCTTTGCCACGGCCGTGGCCGCGGGGTGTTATTGCGTCTATGTGGGCAACGCGTTTGGATATTACGCCGTCATGAAGCAGGCACCGCCGGTGGGCGTGTTGTGGATATGGACGGTGGTGGAACTGGATTTGTTTTACGCTGCGGGCAGCGTGGTCATTGTTCTGGGCTACACGTGGTGGAATAGATTCGGGCTGTTTTGATCAGACACTTTTTGGTAGGCTGCATCGCGTAGGCGTTTGATGGGTTGTAATACTATATGCGGTACTGGGGCAAACTTTTGTCACCATGGCGGAACATGAGTTCTCTGAGGCCTGAGCCGGCGATCTTGCGACGAATGGCCGCTATGCAGACTGGCGGATGTTCACATCACAGTATTGAAGACGTCAAACTTGTTTTCATGGCCCCTGACTAATCTACGACTTGTTCTTCATCTCACGGAGCGTGGCCATGACCTCGATGGGATCGGTCTTGCCCACAGCTTTCTGGACTTCGGGATCCTGCAGAAACATTAGTTAGTGAGCTAGACGTCTATTGAACTGGGACTTGCCGTCACTCTCATGAAAACGTTGTGCTCCTTTTCGTCCCCAATGGTGAATTTGCCCTGGGTCTGTTTGTTCTGCTGCGAGAAGGTGTCCAGCTTCTGGATAGCGGCATTCTGGATGACCTTCTTTCCGAACCCCACATTTCCTTTGGTATACTCGTGGCCGGGGAACACCTTCGTATCGTTGGGCAGTGCAGCAAGGGTTTCGTTCAGAGCCTTGTGCATCTCCTCGGCGGTGCCCTCGAAAAAGCGTCCGCACCCCCCAATGAAAAGGGTGTCGCCGGTGAAGACGGCCTTGTCACTGCCATCCTCGAAGAAGTAGCAAATGCTGTCCTGGGTGTGGCATGGCGTGTGCAACGCCGTCACCTTTATGCCATCGCCGATAGTGAAGGTTTCCTTGTGGCCGGGGGTCGTCGTCTTGTGCGCGCAGTCCTTGCCGCCGACGATGGGCAGCTTGTAGTGCTTCAGAATCTCGCCGTTGCCGCCAGCATGGTCGTGGTGGTGGTGCGTGTTGATGATCTTCAAAAGCTTGATGGCGCCACTCTCGGTCTGCTGCTGGAGCACGGGAAGCACTCTGGGGTAAAGCCAATCAGCGGTTGCTTATTTGGAGAGTGTGGGGGAACCTACTCGGGCGGGTTCGCGGGATCAATGATCACAGCGTCCTTCGTCTTGTCGTCGGAAACGAGGTAGGCATAGTTGTTGCCGGAGCCCTCCCCTAGCGCGCAGAGGGTTAGAAGACTGAGCACCTTGGTGGTGGCGTGGACCTACACATGGGAATCGATTGGATATGCATGGCGCGTGCAGTCGACGGCTATGCCATTGTCAGCAAAAGCTTCAGCAATCGGTGCTTCGAGCGGCCTACTCTCGAGATCAATCGAATGGAAGATTGGTATGGTGCGCGCTTCAGCACGGTTGCGAGAAGACTCATGAGGAGCAGGACAGCAGCAATTGAGTACGAGCGTGCGGAGAGCATCGTCGAGCGCAGAGCTGCCGCCCCACTTTGGCCATCACCGAGTAAGCTCAGTCACACGTCATCCGGCAATTGCCCTTAACTCCGCTCCACCTCCGCAACACGTGATCCAAAATTTCACCCGCCGCGATACCTTCCCGCCCGGCACCAGCCACAACCAGCAATCATCACACAACATCCGAACACCACCGCAACAATGTCGCTTCTCCCGAACCTCGCCCTCCCGGGCCAACCGCTCGGCCCCGCGAGCAAGTACGCGCCGGGCCCGGGCATCCACCTCCAAGACGCGCAGCTCTGCGCATCGCTGCTCGGCCCCGTCAACGAAGCCAAGCCGCTCAAACGCGCCGCCGCAGGCGCCTCCACGACGACCTCGTCCATGCCCGCGCTGTCGATCGCGCGCCCGCAGACCAACGGCTCGACCGCCCCTGCCGCGGTGTACGCCAGCGTCGGCGCCTCCAACGTCCTGCCCGAGGTCGACTCGGTCGTGCTGGCGCGTGTGACGCGCTTGACGCCGCGCCAGGCCACGGTCGAGATACTGGTTGTCGGCGAGACTGTGTGCAGGGAGGGCTTCCAGGGCATCATCAGGAGAGAGGATGTGCGGGCAACGGAGAAGGATCGTGTCAAGATTGGGGATATGTTTCGGGTGGGGGATATCGTGAGGGGTGTTGTTGTGAGTTTTGATACACCGAGTCAATGGCGAATTGAATTGCGGATGTACGATTGGGATGGAGGATGGACGCTGACTCGGATGGGCAGATTTCCCTGGGAGATCAACAGAATTACTACCTTTCCACGGCGACGAATGAGCTCGGTGTCGTCATGGCGAGGAGCGAGGCTGAGAACCAGATGTACCCGATCAGTTGGAAGGAGTTTAGGGATCCGAAGACGGGGATGACGGAGAGTAGGAAAGTTGCGAAGCCTTTCTGAGCTCCTGAACCAAGTCTATCAACGAGCGATCAGGCATCTCATACCCGGCTCTACAGCAGGGCCAACTGGCATGCCCTTTGCCCACGGACCTGGGCCTTTATATCATATGCTCGATGAGCCAAGGCCTTAGGTACCATACGACGGGAAGGAGTCTCCATCAGCGATGGCTGTTATCCTCGAGGCCCCAAATGTATGCGGTCATCAGGATAGCGGACGGAGGCTACAGCCTCGAACTCTGTCTGTGCGGCAATAATGATACTGAGCACCTATCGCTCATGCCGAGCTGCCGGTTGGAAAGGGAGCATGGTCACAGTGGACCTTGAGGAAGTGAAATCAAGTTCTCGCATTATTGAGAATGCTATCTGCAACACAGCAGCTTTTGTCACAAGATGACTCAAATTTCAGTTTTCATCAGCGAAAGGTCGTCTCCAGAACTTACCAATTACTATACCAGGAAAGTCTAAAGCCTAAATTTAGTCTTTAGTTCAGCCTTGTCCCAGTGCCCTATCTCACACACGAGATCTACTTAGTCTGCAAGAACAAAGGGTATGGAGAAGGTCAAGACCTCGAAAATCTCACGCTCATCGGTTTCGCCCGCTTCTGCCTGGCCTTTTAGCCCGAACTGTATGAAAAACGTGTGTCTCTCCGCATTTGTGCTTCAACAAACCCTACCCTAAAATAAACATTAAGGTTATCAAGGGTTCTCCCCTCAGCTGTTTCCAGGGATCCTTTTTTTCTGGCGTTCAAAATATGGTTGCAAGCGACGAACACGTCATTGCGCAAAGTACTCCAATGTGCTCTCCAGCTGGTCTTGGGCTCCTTAGATGGGACCGGGAAGCTTTAACGTTCAATCGATTTCACGCAGGCTTCGTCCGTGGTTAATATTTCGCTCTGTGGAGAAATGGTACTGCCAAGACTATCCCATCACCCATTGCTGCAAAGAGGGCGGAACGCGATTTTGTGGTACTCTAACGGAGGATGAGACCTCAATAAGCCCACCATCACTAATGATGATCCTTTGCATGATCGAGTGGCGGAAGGGAGCGCGACACCTTTTTGTGTGTAGAGAAACATGAAGCTTGGATGGCTCGAATGTTAGATAGGACTATCATACCCATTGATATTTCTTGTCCAACATGGTGGAATAATGTTCATGGGTGGAGGTTCACCAAGCCGCGCCGAGCTTGGCCTGCACATACTTCTACCCCAATACATGGTTACGGTAAACACACTCAAGTGCGCCTTCATAATTCTCAAGATCCTTCACAAGCAGCTTAAGTGAGAGCACAGTAGTAGTTGCCACAAAAATCAACAGTCTTGTTGCACCTACCTACGCATGCCCACGTCCAGTCCGGCCGCTCTTGGTCCATGTTGATCCCCATAAAACTACCTCTCGACGACTACTTTTCTCTTCCTTCATCTATTCCAAACAAGCTTAAAGTTTCCACCTCCACTGCTAACCCCCCACACATCAACTCCATACGCCCGCGCAAACCTTTGCCAGAATAGGAAGTGCAAGAGGAATTCATTAGCGTTCCCATTCGTCCAGCCCCACCGCCAAGGACGATAGCGCTCGCTGTTCTTGCGCAAAGATAAGCAGTAGCAACTCCCGGGCGGTGCAGTGCAGGATTGAGTTCAGGTGTCAAGGAAGCGCGAGGTCTCAAACGTGTCACGTCCGCAAATAAAAGGCCTCGCATTTAAAATAACGCGTGTACGCACGAAGGACGATGGGGGGAGGGAATAATGGCAAGCGTTCGTTGGGCAGCAAGAACCAGCGATAGGTAGGCGGTGACTTGCCGCTATCTAATTCCTAGTTTCCGTTGTCACGAGCACGCGCGGTTCTCCGTTTTTCATCGTCGTTTCCCGGTTACATCAACAACATCAAGGGACCAACAAAGCTACACACACACATACACCGCGCCGCCATAGCGATCACCATCAAAAGCACGGCTGCTCCCGTCCTCCCATGCATATCACAGACGGTTTTTTTCTTTTTTTTTTGGCCGTGCAGAACTCTACCAAACCCTACCGTAGGTGGTAAGAAGTGCGGGCGTAAACGGCCCTTTTTCCTGTGCCGCCAAGAGGCTCGGCGCGGAAGCGGAAGCGGAAGCCGGACGACGCTCGTGAAATCCAAGACAAGTCCCCAGCAATCTGATCTTGGCGACTAGCAAAAGCAGAGCAAAAAGAAGCCGAAATCGCGCGGGCAGGTGGTAGCCCGTAGGTAGAGCATGACAATGCTTCGCGGCAGCATCCACTTTTGCCGAGCGGTCGAGTTGATCTCTCCTCTTCCCTTTGATGAACTCTTGGAGTTTCTTGCCAGGCACCCTCAATTCCGCAAGCCTTCTCTTCGTTTTGCTATCATGCGTCGCAACCAGCAGCATATGACAAATGCAGCTCGTCGATGAGATGTCGGCAGGCGTGATCGGTGGCGTCGTTAGCGGTTGGGCTGGATTGGTTTCTGGTAAGCGGCGGCGTCGTCGGCATGATCGGCAAACGCTCGGAGCTGAGGGCGCAATTGGGCCCAAAAAGTGGACTCCCAAACAACGGATGGCCCAGTGGATGACTCAGGCAGGCGATGCTTTTCGTGGTCGTCCTTGGAAGGAAGGGGAAAAGATGCAGGATCCGGAAGCAAACGACGGCGGGGCGGGGTCTGCCGGAGAAATGCGCGCGCGCGCATAGTCTTTGCCTCTAGAAGCAGAAAAGCGATGTCATGTATGCCCGTGTTCTGGCGATGAGTCTTGTGGCTCCTGCCGGGCAAAGCGGGTCTGTGTTGACTGTTCCAGAGGCCAGATAAATTTTTCCCCCCTTCCAACGTCCGGCCCGCGTGCGCCTATCTTTCGACTCATACCCAGTTGTCAGCCCTTCCCTTCTGACAGTCAGACGATTTTCAACAAAACCGTCTGTCCATCGAAGTTCAACCTTCCCGGATACGTCACTAGTCGGTTCCATTCGCCCCTCCCGCCTCCGTCGTCATCCTTGTCTTGGCCTGTCCCTACCCCGCCGACTTGTAAATGCATCCCACAGCAGCCTCGTGCGATCCCGTGCGGATGGGGCCACCATGGCTTCATCCCGTGCAGGCATCTACCAAAGAGATCAATGACTCTCAAGCAACGCTATGTCCCAAGCCTCCATGGATGATGCACTCGCCAGGATCCAGTGACCCCGGCATCGATCCCCAGATCGACAGGATCCCCATGGAGGTGTGCCCACACGGCAATGGCAGTCAGGCCGTGGGGATATTACAGCCCTTCAATGCCGTCACGCCCGAGATTTCTGAGAAGCCGTCGGCGGCGTCGTCCGACTCTAGAGATTCGGTGCTTGAGCAGCCCGGGGAGAGCGAGGGTTCTTGGTGGATGAGTATGGTGCACAACTTCACACCTTCATGGGTAAGTCCACCCCCCAGCAAACGTCTCTGATCAGTTTCCATGCTCTTCCTTCCCAATGCTGCGCCCACAACGCTCTTTGACCTTCTGTGAATGCAAAAATGACTCAAACTCCGCAGTATTCCATGACCATGGCCACCGGCATGGCCGCTTTGATCTTGCACGCTCTCCCCTACCAGAACCAGACCGTTACTGTGCTGTACACGATAATATTTGTCCTTGATGTTTTCATGTTCGTTGTCATCTCCATTCTTGCAATCTTGCGGTATACGCTGTATCCGGAAACATTGGGAATGATGTTGCGACATCCCGTCCAATCGCTTTTCCTGGGCTGTTGTCCAATGGGCTTGACCACCGTCATCAACATGTTTGTCTTCGTGTGTATCGAAAATGCAGGCTGGGGCAAATGGGCTTCCGATCTTGCTTGGGCTTTGTGGTGGATTGATGTGGTGATGGCGGTAGCCTGCTCTTGTGGACTGCCCTTCTTGCTGTAAGTTGCATCTTTCTGTTCCGTGAAGCATCATACTGACGCAAAAACCAGTATGCACGTGCACCAAGTGGACCTGCCCTCGATGACGGCGGTATGGCTGCTTCCTGCGGCTACTCCAATCGTAACAGCTTCAAACGGAGCAACTATAGCGTCCATGTTGGCAAGCACGAACCAACAGCACGCCCTTTGGACCTTGATGGTCAGCTACGTTCTGTGGGGCATCGGCTTCCCCATGGCTGTCGTGACTCTGGGCATCTATCTACATCGCTTGACGATGCACAAACTGCCTCCGCGGGAAGTCATTATTACTGTCTTCATACCCGTTGGCCCGCTCGGTCAGGCCAGTTTCACCATAATGAACTTGGGTAAAATGGCGTTGGAGTTGTTTCCCGAGGCAAGTTTGCGAAAAATGGCCACTCTTCCATAGGCAGTAGCTGACGACAGACTAGACCGGCTCCATCCACCCGCTGGCAGGTGGCGTCTTTTACGTTGTCGGTTTCGGCACGGCGATAATTCTTTGGGGATTCGGTCTCGTCTGGTTGGTCTTCGCTGTTGCTTCAGTGACTCGCTCCAGGTTCCCCTTCAACATGGGGTGGTGGGGATTCACCTTCCCAACTGGTGTTTATGTTCTGGCAACGCTGCAACTGGGAGTCGAGTTTCCGTCCGCCTTCTTTGACGTTCTTGGGACCGTGAGTAGCTGCCCTGCTTGTTGCAAAGGTGCTGCGCTAACACACAAACCAGGTTATGGCGGTGATCGTTGTCCTGATTTGGTTCCTTGTCGCAGTCATAACTCTACAGAGGAATCTGATCGGGGATATCAACTTTGCACCTTGTTTTTTGAGCTCCAGAAGAGTACGGCAGAATAGAGAGATATCCGACAGAGTTTAGAGAATTTCAGGGCGAGTGTCCAATTGAGACCAGTTCTTACACGCGACATCCGCCATGCGCCGTCACAGTGACTGATGCTTTTCCAGCTCCAATGGCACCCATTCTGAGTCACCAGCTTTGGCCCAACCATTTCTTTTCAGGTGACCAAAATGTATTCTATCATCCAAGGTTTCGACCAGAGATTCCCACCTGTAGTCCCGGCTCTTTACGGATAGACGGATATTGCGTCGGCGGTTGTACAATACGAGGAAGCCGGCCAAGATTTTGTAGGTCCGGTCCAGCTCGGTCCAGAGGTCTGCAGGCTGAGCTCGTTTCATTCGGTGGGGCTCGTGCAGGATGGTGCTAGTCGGCTCCGGGGCCAGCTGAAAAGTGAGGCAGCACTGAGCGGGTAAGAGAGCCAAGTGTTTGGCCCAACGGGTAACATTTTCGGTTGTGGGAAAGATTGCGACGTAAGTGAGCGAGGTGGCGGCGCTAGATTCCCAGCTCGCTCGTTCGAGAAGGAGCTTCAAGACGCACGGGGAACGGTAGTGCTGATACTCGTACAAGTTATAGGCGCAAAGCGAGGAGCCTTCGTTGTAGCCAATATGGCACCAACGGCGCCTGGCCATCAGGTTGTCGGTGGCACCGAAGGGATGGGCACAAGCGTGTTCAGCAAGGTCAACGTTCTGACGTAGCTCAAGGACGTGATAGCTCTGCTCGAAGGCCCAGCTATGTTGGAAGCAGCCACCACAGCCGGCGAGACGGGCCAGAGCGGCAGGCGGGGCGACGATTTTAATCGAAGCAGGTTCGATGCGGTCGAAAACAACAGACCAGAAGTCAGTGGAGACGGAGGCGATATCGGCCCTCAGCGAACCGTAGATTTCACCGTGGGCGCAGACAACCAAGCTCTTCACGTGATGGCGGCGGTCGAATTTGGCCAGAAAGGAGCGGATGCGCGGCAACTCTGGGGCGAGGCTTGGGATCCACTCATTGTGTTGGTCGTCAAGGATGTGCAGGTTGAAGACGAGATGGTGGAAGAGCAGGGGCTTGATGATACGGCGCCATCGGGGTGAAACGAGAGACAGGGCCTTGAGGGAGCGGTCACGGAACGAGGTGAGAGCATGGGGATCGGGCTCGTCAAAGAAGTGGGCGTCGGACGGAGGAGCACAGTCGAGGTACGAGATGACGTGCAGCTTCAGCTCGTCGGGGAGGGCGTCCATTTTGATGACGGGAGGAGGACAGCCGATGGACGTCGGTCGGTGTGTTGTGGTCATGCGGAGGTCCACGTCGGGAGGTGGACCGGCCCGCCCATGACGTCGGGAACTGGCAACGGCAGCCGCCCCCCGCTGCTTGACGCTGCTCCTGCCTTTGCCCTCGTGCGCTCTTTCCCCTCTCCAATCGCCGCCGCTTCCGATGTCTTCAGCCCTCCGCGCGACACCAATGGATGAAACACTCGGCATGCGCCCTCGCCATCGCGGACACCAAGAACATTCCTCGGGATTTTGCGTCAAGCTCCGATGACGGTGTTACCCTGAGCTGTAGGCCTGACCCATCCACGGTCGCCGCCATCTTTCGACTGGGAACCGTTTCCATCGATTCTTGTCCCGAATCGGGCCCTTGCTCGCCCCGTCGACAGACTGGCCGTTACAGCCTCGTATTTGGTCGATGGACAGGCGTGTGACAGACTGCAACCTCAAGGTCTGTTCAGCTAATCCTGCATCGGACAACTTTAAGAGCTGGCGTGGCATCTCCCTTGCTAATAATAGCACAGATCGCCCCCGGCCTAAGGCTTTACGGCAACAGCTTATCCCCATGTGCAACCCTTCTTTGCAGATTCGCAGCAGGCATCCCAAGACAGCTGTGTGTGCCACAACCCTGTCAGGTTTTCGTGGCCGCTGACCCATCATCCCACCGCGTCGGGAGCCCATGCGCCTTCACTCGTCGTATCCTTCATCATTGATTCTGGTGTCCTGCTGCCTCTCGGAGCAACTGCAACCCTCTCGCGTTGGCACTCTCGCGGATGAGCTGCGCCCCGCACCTCCCGCTTCCTACGTGCCGCCTACCGTGCCTCCTACCGTGCCTACGCTATAAAGACAGAGCGTGATCCCTTGCTTTCATCTGCATCCAACCCTCGAGCCTCACAGCTACAGCACAGGCAGCTTCATCAAGCCGCGTTTCAATCGTTACTATCGCTTCCCAGCATCCACTTTATGGCCACAATGGTTTCCGCTTCTCAGATTCTGTTCGGCACCCTCAGCCTTCTTTCCCCGACTCTCGCTCTCCCAACCAATCCCCTCGTGTTGGAATCTCGACAAACTGTCAACCTTCCCATCACGCTCACTGCATATGCTCCCGATAATACCAATCTGAACGGCGCCAAAGCACAAAATGGTGGAAGCCTTTTCGGCGAGCAAGTCGCCCAGTACTGTCCCACAATTGTTGGCGACAGCTGCCCCAATGGCACTGAAACTGTTTACTGGGGCGGATTGACACCTGTAGGCTCTACTCACTCCATGAGCTGCCACGTCGTTACTTGTATCAAGCTAACCCAGCCAGTCTTCCATGGTACCCGGCGGCCAGGACCTTTACGTCAGCGCCGACGGTAGCATTCACATCACCGTCCAGCACTCGCACTACATCCCCTCAGACGCCTACCCCAGCTACCAAGGCTGGGTTTACAACACTCTACCATCCGCCAACGACACTGATCCTGCTCCCATGCCCAACTGCCCCCTTGACGATCCTCGCTACAACTGCGATACCCCCATGGGCTATTACACCTTCCATGCTCCTGACGCTCCTGCGGATGTTGGAGGCGTCGTGTCCTGCCCCTACCTGGACTCCCCGGACCACTTCTCTGCTTACGCCGTGACCCCAAATTTCAATCGCACCGACTGCACTCCCATGCTGGGCTTGGGCAGTCATCACTACACGGGCGTCAATCCGCCAGTGTGGGCGTACTGATCGCAGTTGAGGATTCTTCGATGATATGCAGGCAGCTTGACGCCTGTTCTCTTGTCTCCACATCTGTCTTGTACCGTGGATAGTGACCTGGCTTGGACGAATCCTTGCCGAAATTGTTAGCTTAGTTAATGCATAATCATATCCTTCCAATCCTTATCCACTTCACTCGGGAATCGCGATGCAGGTGTCATTGATATTCCAACCTGCTCTCATTATATACGTCGCATTCATGTACTCATTTGCGATTCGCCAGGGTGCGTACATGAGGCACCGAGAAGGATCGTACAGTTTACCGGGTACACAGATGCACAATCTACCAGCAAGTGGCACCATTTCGGTAAAGACTCCGCTACTCAGGAGCTGCACTCAGTTCCTTCGCCACCTGCTGTGATGCGACCTCGGCAATTCTGGAAATGAGCCGCAGCGTTGAATGTATAAAAACGGCTTCTCGGGTCAAGGGTTGCTGTAGCCGATGCTTAGCGTGAGGGGTTCTTTACATGCGAAAATTCGTAAGAGGATGCAGCCGTGACAGTGAACATCCAGGGAGTGTGATGCTCTCTTTGATACAAAGAATAGCTTTTCGTGGCATATCGCTCTTCTCGGGAATTGAGGTTCCGTGAGGTAGTACATTGACACGGGAGAACAAGCGTGGGGCGGAGAGGGGATCCGCAATGGGCTGGGGTAACGATATCGGAGCTTCACCCCCACCTCTGACGTGCCTATCAACTTCAGGAAAGTGAGACTGCATTATAAATAACTGGACGAGCGTCTGCTTCCGTGGACTCGCCTGCGAACGAAAGACATCTTGAGCTAAGGGAGAAACTATCCCTATATCCGTCATCATGGCCAACGCCGACACTTACCCACCGCCGGAAGATGTCGAGCTTCCGATGCTGAACGCCATTCCGGCCCATCTGGTTGACCGTTTCGACCCGGCCTTTGTCCAACACCATAACAAATACCAACTGGGGAGGCTGCACACCCACCAGATACCCATCGAGTGGGTCCGGGCAAACCCGGCCAAGTACGCCATTTCCTACGGTCGCGCGCACTTCCCCACATCCCGCGTCAAGATCTCGGAGCAGAAATGCCCGGTAAAGGGCGGCGGCGAGATCACAATCCGCATGTTCGAGCCTGTGGACGGCGGCGGTAGGTCCAACAACAAGAAGCCGGCTTACATGAACTTCCACGGCGGCGGCTGGGTCTTTGGCGGCGGGCTTGCGAAGGACCACGAGTTTTGCAAGAGGCTGGTGCACAGCCTGGGTTGCGTCGCTTTCGACGTCGACTACAGGCTGGCGCCCGAGTATCCGCATCCGACTCAGGTGGAAGACTGCTGGGACGCTTTCCAGTGGATGAGGGCAAAGGCTGATGAATTCGGGGTGGATCTGGAGAAGCTTGCTGTGGGCGGAGCGTCTGCCGGCGGCCACCTTGCTGCTGTCGTGGCGTTCAGGTGCCGCGATAATGGCATCCCTTTGGCCTTCCAGCTGCTGCAGGTGCCCGTCACCGACCTGGTGGCTGTGTTTACGCCGACAGCCGAGCTCGATCCGAAATGTCCGTACGAGAGTTATAGAGAGATGTGGGATGTTGTGGTTCTTCCAGGAGAGCGTATGAGCTACTTCCAAAAAGCTTGGCTGGGGAACCCCCGGCCAGCGAAGTATGATGATGTAAGTGACTTTCGACTGCAGGCTCGCAGGAGGACGATAGAAGAGAGCTGACGAAGTGCAGGACTGGGAAGTCTCGCCTATCAAGAACCCGGACCTGTCCAAGCTCGCTCCAGCACTGATTGTGACGGCTGAAATGGACCCATTGAGAGACGAGGGCGAAGCGTATGGTAGGAAAATGAACGAGGCTGGCTCAAAGGCCGACGTTTGGCGGATACCTGGGGTTCCCCACACTGTTGTCCACTTGGATGGTATCCTCAAGGGTGGGCAGGAGTTCAACGAGAGGGCATTGAAAGCCCTCTCGGAGGCCTGGGCGGTCCCCATAACTCCTTAGCCGTGGTTCAAGTTCCCAATCAACTGTGATCTTTCAGTGTCAACCAAGCCGTCTCAAGGCCTTCCAAGTGACATGCTGCTCCGGTGCGGAGGGCACGGAGCGCGGAAAGCTGGAGCGCGACCGAATTGCATGCTTTGCGCACGACACGCCATCACGTACGACAGGAGAGTGAGCTTGCGTTGCGTCATTTGAGGTGTGTGGAAGGAAAGTTATAAGGCTGAATGACTCGCAGAGTGAATGTGATGCACGCTTGTTGAATCGCTGGGGCGCTAGGCCCAGTATGTTGCGCTAACCGAGCTGCGGCACTGTCGCGAATTCTCCCCTCCAAGCCGGAAGCGCGAAGTCTCTTCCTCACCTCGCGACATCTTCAACCACCGCCGTAGCGCAGGATACCCATTTCTTTGCGCACTTCGCAACTCCCCACCCCCACGTCAAAAATGGCTCCCGTTGTACGTTCACTGCTTTGCTGCCCGCCGATCTCCTGAGCGAGGCTCGGCTTTTGAGAGCAGTAGGCTAAGTGTGCATTACAGAAGCGTGCCGGCCCCAAGAAGGCCAAGGTCACCAAGAAGGTACGACCGCCGTCTTCCCCTCCTCCTCTCGCGCGTGCGCAATCTAATGCCTGCCGCAGTTCATCATCAACGCCTCGCAGCCCGTGAGCGACAAGATCTTCGACATCGCCGCCTTCGAGAAGTTCCTCCACGACCGCATCAAGGTTGATGGCCGCACCGGCAACCTCGGCGACACCGTCCAGATCTCCCAGCAGGGTGACGGCAAGATCGAGGTCATCGCCCACCAGGAGTTCTCTGGTCGCTACCTCAAGTACCTGTAAGTTGGGGCGGACAGTCGCGTGCAGGAACAATCGCTGATGCAATGACATTGCAGGACCAAGAAGTTCCTCAAGAAGCAGCAGCTCCGTGACTGGCTCCGCGTCGTCTCCACCTCCAAGGGTGTCTACGAGCTCCGCTTCTTCAACGTCGTCAACGACGATGTCGACGAGGACGAGGAGTAAATTAGGATTGATACCCGGGATTTCGTCTTGAAAAGATAGCTGGAAAAGTCATCCTTGTTACACCTCAAACTACTTTCGCATTGCCGCGCTGTGATTGTGGAGATATCTGGAAAACCATGTTCGAGACAACACTCACCTTACTGCGGATTAAACCTTTGCTATGATCATGACGGCTACAGGACATATCAAGCGCGAACGCCAATTCACCAATAAGACGATCTTCGAGCGGGACGGTGTGCCAGTTCACCGTTCACCGCGCAGGAAATCGAAGTGGCGAAGGGGTCGGTTTTTCTAATGCCACGCGGTAAGCAGCCACTGATACTGCTGTTTGCCTTTTTCAGCTCTTCCGGCGCATCACCTAAGCAGAGAATCTCATAGAAAGAAAGAAAGAGTAGGCTACTCAAGCAAGCCACAAATCATTTATTGATTGCTGAAGAGAATATTGCACTAACGCAATCTGAAAAACACAGTCTGACAATATCACCATAACCAAAAGTTCATTTCAAGATGAACCACTACTCCTACATGTTACCAACTGAAAAACCGCCATCAAATCCATCAACTGATCATTGCATCCAACTCTTAAGATCAGGGTGTGATAGGATGCTAGTTCTTGTCCGAAATGGGCACGGGCGACGCAGTCCTCAGATTGATCAACAGGGCACTGTCATCAACCGTGGTAGAAGCTGCCGCCCATTTGATGGCATAGAGACCTTCGGTGCCGGTGGGAACGGCGCGATAGTTCATTTGGATCTCTCCTGCATCAGAGAGATGGTACGCCCATGCTCCGTATAGACCAAATCCTGATGTAGTCATGGTCGTCGTGGAGTTCACGATGCCGACCGTCTCCAGGTCGCCGCCGGAATTGGTGATGCCCCATGCGAAAGAATCGCCACTGTCGGTAGTGACGGTCCAGGTTCCGCTGGTGCTATCCTCGGTCGACACTGAGCAGCAGTCAGACAGTCGTCTGCACTGGACTGGAATACTGGACTTACATGTAATGTTCGCAATGCTTGTTGCGTCCGCAGGAACATCTGTCCCCGCATAGGCTACGCCTGTGGATATCGTCAGCAAGTCTTCCAAGCACCACTTGAGGAGGCGAACCGTCTGCAATGAAGACACTCAAGCCTTCCGGAATGTCGGAACCATACGCATAGAGCTTGAAGGAATCGGCTCTGGGCTTGATGACAGCGGCACTCGAGAAGCGGACAAGAAGCAGCACGGTGGCTGTGAAAAGAAGAGAAAGCATCATTGGTTCAACGATGGAGACGTTGAATTGCGAGACGAGACCAGGCGGATTCGCAGCCAAGAAACACAACGTCGGCTTCCTCGCGGCGACATCAGATATTTGTAGCGGCCGTTGGAGACTGACGTTGCGAGCATTTCCTTCAGGCGTTTATCCATGTGCCACAAACGGACGGAGGAAGCCCCGGTCAACTCGGTTAGCATCATCAGGCAAAAGTGCACAATCTACGGCGCAGCAGTCTTATCGGCACGGTTTCGCTAGCTCGAGCCATGCAGGTGTGGTCTCACGACAGGGTCGACGTGGCTTCCGTTTCATTTCGGCGGTCCAGAAGCGGGTTGCAGGGCGGCGGCACGACCATTCCTCTCGACCCAAGACTGCCTTGGTCGCCACAAACGCCAGAGGAAAAGATGTAGTGGTATGCAGGGAATCGAAACGGCTAGGCGAGCAGGCGGCGGTTGGTGGATTCTGCTGACGTTCCTGCGGTGAGCGGTGAGGCGTTAATGAGGATGACGCGCGTCCATGGTTCCCAAAACAGTAACTTTCGGCAACTAAGCTCGAGCTGTTAAGGTACCGGCTCCAATCAACAAGCCTCTCCCGCGCGCCAAGAACGCATCTCTCCCGCCGCTGAGGCTCCCAGCGGAGTAGAGGCCAGGAGAGTGACTGCAGCCGGGCCACCTCTTGGCATCGGGGAAATATAGCTTTTGGTCTGACCTCGATATAGGCAAGGTCAGCCTTGCAGTACCCGCACCCGCGCGCGGGAGCGTCGTCTCGCCTATCTCGCCGTCCGAGCCATGAGCAATGTGGTGGGGTTTCGCCTCCCGCCCGGCCTGGAGACGCGTCCTCGCCGCTCATCCAACCCGAATTAGGAGAGCAAAGCGCGTTCTCGCTTCTCCCAGCACGTCTTGCCTTACCGTCAGCAGGCCGTCTCTCGTGAATCCTACAAGCTCAGCCACCACATGCACTCGAGGCCGGATGGGTTCCCACAGACACGTCTCGGCTCGCTTCGAAGAAGGGTTTGTGTCCATGATGCCGGGTTACTCCTATGGCTGAGAGTGGGTGCATGATCCTGTCAAGCCACCATACTTGGCGATTTGCACGAGCTCTATCGACTTGGATTATCCTAATATCCTAAGAGTGGTGAGACATAACCGCGTGTAGCAAAGCTTCAGGTGGTAGCCAGCCACCCGGGTTGAGGCAGCGGCTAAGCACGTTCGTTCGTACGCATCGGGACCAGACTCCTCAACACCTTCGGAGACTTCGGATTCAATGCGAGCTCTAGCCTTCTGGATGGGCTCTTCGACCCAGTGTCACCGTCCCGGTGGATCATCACTGGCCCCCCCTGAAGGAATCCCCGAGGACAATTGTAACATCGTCTAGGTAGGTATAGATAGCAGTTTACTTGGCTGCATGAGGTCTCCACTGCTCAAACCGGCGCTCCGGTACGCTATCGCATCGATTCGGCAACCTTTGTGTGCGAGTTTCTGCCAATGGGACACCACTCTGGCAGTAATTAAATCTCGCTTTGGAGTCTCATGTTTCTGTTTTAGGATATGGATTCGTAAGCTCCATCCTAAAGTCCCACTCAAGAGATTGATAGCATACTTCGAAAAACCATTGTTTTCGTATTTACCGCGTACCCACATCTCAGCCGTATCTACTATCAAAACCCCCCCACGTGCGGTGTGGTGCTGTCAGCCTTCTACCCGAGCCGGAAATTTAATTTGTGGCTCTTATGGCCATGCGCCATCGTGGCTGCTTCGGCCAGCTTCCTGCACCCTTGACGCAAATATGCAGAAAATTATTGAAACAGTGCAATAGGCGGATCCCGACCAAACCAAACCCTAAACTGGGTTGCCTTAACAGACTCGGGTCCGACTGACTTCGCCGAGGTGTGGCCCCCATGGACTCTAACCGAGCCGTAGACATCTTCAACGCCCTGAGAGGTTGCTTTCTCACCTTCTCGTGTGCTAACCATGGTACTGGCGATAATTGCAAGTGGGGAATCCCACAAGGCCACCACTCCTACCTGCATCGCTGACGTTGCCACCTTCCACATGGATCTTGGACACAGCTGTGGACTGTAGGTTTCGTGTCATCCAGAGACGCTAAGGCGTACGGCAAAGCGATGGCTTGTCCGCTTAGTCTCCTTCACCAGCTTACGCTTCCGCTTCCGCTGCCGTCGACCTGCCGGGGGTTCGGAAACGAAGGAGGAGCATCCTTTCTTGGCTACTGCGGCAGCAAAGGACGCGTCGTGAGGTGTTGGACTTTGGCGATGGTCGAGTAGCATCGCTTCTCCATTCTCCACCGTCCGTTCTACCTTGATACTTCTTCTAGTTCCTTGCGGTGGGAGTATTTAACTTCATGCCCACTCTGCTGAGGGAGCTTCCTCCGACACGGCCTCTCTCCCCTCCCTTCCCTTTGCCTACCACGCAAGGAGAGCCATAGGGATCTACGTCTTTCGTTAAGATCTACTAATCACCTGCTTCGCCTCTCCCTGACCATCGAGCCATACGCTGAAGATGCGGGCACCGTTCTTCTGGAATTTGCTCTTCGCCGGAGCGCTCGCGGCTCCGCAAGCTGCCTCGTCAACGTCTTCTGCAGCGGCGTCTGTTTGCACCGGCAATACTGCAAGTGACAGATCTACCTGGTGCGACTACGACATCCAAACCGACTGGTACTCTGAAGTCCCAGATACGGGGGTGACTGTCGAAGTAAAACTCCCTCTTCTGTCAAGATCTGTTAGGAAGCATCAAAACTGACCTTTGTAGTACTGGTTTGACATTACCAACACGACTGTATCACCCGATGGCGTTGAGCGCATGGCTTTGGCAGTGAATGGGTCTATTCCCGGTCCAACCATTGAGGCAAATTGGGGAGATACCGTCAGTAAGTTTTGACTGCTTTTTCCTCCTTTTTTTTTAAAGCAAAAAAGTCAAAATTATCGTCGTTTTGCTGACGCCGTTCCTAGTTGTACATGTCATGAACAGCATGCAGAATAATGGGACTGGCATCCATTGGCATGGCATCCGTCAGAATTGGACGAATTGGATGGACGGTGTCCCAAGTATTACTCAATGTCCTATTGCGGTATGCCGACCCCAGTCAGATGAAGTGTTGCAAGAATCCAATGCTGACTATTAGTTTAGCCGGGAGACTCCATGACTTATACTTGGCGCGCAACCTCATATGGTTCCAGCTGTAAGACCGCACCGGTGATGAAGACTGCTCGAACCATAACTGACGGCATCAGGGTATCACTCTCATTTTTCGCTCCAAGCCTGGAACGGGGTTTTTGGCCCTATGGTCATTCATGGGCCAGCTTCTGCCAACTACGACGAGGACATGGGCCCGGTGTTGCTTAGTGACTGGTCACATCGGACGTCGGATGAGTTGTACCAATACGCACAAACCCAAGGCCCTCCGGATCTCGACAACGCCCTGATTAACGGTCTCAATGTCTACAACGATTCAGGGAACATCCTCGGCTCCCGCTGGGAAACGAGCGTGACGTCCGGAAGCTCGTACCGTCTGCGGCTCGTCAACACGGCCATCGACACGCACTTCAAGTTCATGATCGACAACCACACCCTCACCGTCATCGCCATGGACTTCGTCCCCATCGAGCCGTACCAGACCGAGTACCTTGACATCAACATGGGCCAGCGCTACGACGTCGTCATCACCGCGGACCAAGAGGAGAAGGACTACTGGATCCGCGCCATCCCGCAGGCGGCCTGCTCGTCCAACGCAAACGTCGACAACATCCGCGCCATCCTCCGCTACGACAGCAGCAGCACCGCCGAACCCACCACCGCCGCGTACACGGACTTCGTCGACGAGTGCGTCGACGAGCCGTACGCGTCGCTCGTCCCGGCGCTGGTGCAGAATCCCACGTCGTCAATGGTCGCGTCGGACAGCACCGACATGCCCGTTACCGTCGGCGTGCTGAACAACCTGTTCAAGTGGTACATCAGTGCCAAGACCATGGCCGTCGAGTGGGGCAGTCCGACGACCATGTCCGTGTACAACGGCAAGACGGATTGGACCGACAACGACCACATCGTCGAGCTGACTGCTGCGAACGAGTGGGTGTACTTTGTCATCGAGACGGCGCAGGGTGTGCCGCATCCGTTCCATCTGCACGGTAAGAATCTCCCTTCCTTCCCCCCCTCCGGGATGGATCCCAAAGTGTCTTCTTTTCCCCTTTCCCCCGGCAAAATGGCCTTGACTGATGCCTCTTTTCCCTCCCACAGGTCACGACTTCTGGATCCTGGCGGCCGGCACAGGCACATACTCGGAATCGGTGACGCTCAACACGGCCAACCCGCCGCGTAGAGACGTTGCAACCTTGCCCGCCAGCGGCTACATTGTCATCTCGTTCTACACCGACAACCCCGGTGCTTGGTCAGTTGTCCCCCACCTCCTCCACTTCCCTTTCGACTTGCCTCTTGCTGACTTGTATGCGTAGGCTCATGCATTGCCACATCGGCTGGCATACGTCCGAGGGTCTGGCGATGCAGTTCCTGGAGCGCGCGAGCGAGATGGAGGCGGTGATGAGCGCGTCGACCATGTCGGATACTTGCACCGCTTGGGATACGTATGCGTCTGCGAATGGGGTTGAAGAGGAGGACTCGGGGGTGTGAGGAGGGAGCGGGTTTTATCCGTCGTGAGGGGCTTGTCGCAGAGTCGGTGCCCAAATGTGCAGTCCGTTCGTTGTTCGGGTTATCTCTTAGACTTATGAATGTTTAGTACCGGCAAAACTTGATCAGTTATCTGAAGCTTCTCTTGTCAACTGTGAGTCGCGAACTGCAGGCTCAGAGAGCTGTGTACAGTAAAATGGCCAGCGTCGGGGTCGGGAAACCCTCCCCAGCTTTGAATCGACTTCACGATCTACAAGATTCTCGCGCAGATGGAATGATCTCAACCTTGTTCTCACGACACACGTCTCAAACTCGACGAAGAGATACTACGCATATCACGTCTTCGAGACTAAGCAGAAAGAATTGGGAAGGCCTCAGTTCCCACAACTCAAATGAACGCTCTCAAGCAGTATCGAGAAAGGGCAACATTAGTACTTTGGCTCTATAGCAAACAGAGTTCTATTAGAACAATTGAGATCTGCGAGCAAAAAGACTAAAAAAAAAAAAAAAAAAAAAGGAGAAGGAAAGCCTTGCGAGACTTCTGAAACAAAAGATAGCCAAGGTTCGGCCGAGGAGCACACTGGGCAGGGGACAACCCAGATGACTCGCCCGCCTTGACGCTGCCAGACCATGGCAAGAAACTTGGTAGGTCATTAGCTTAGTGTTCATTTCCATGTAGGACAAATGTCTAGATGACTACTTTCTTACGGCGAGGGTTACGCATTCTACTTGCGCTGCACAAGGAGCTCTCTCGGCATGACTCGAGCTGGCGCAGGGGCTTTGATAAAGCGACCCATTTCTTTTTGCGTATTCGCTGCCCGGCTATCGGCTACCGGCAATTGGCAAACCAATGCCTATACTTATCTTGCTCTGATAGGCATCCAATGTAGAGGCACAGGGCCAGCAAAGGCTACATCACCATCAAAGCAACGAAGATGTGAGACACCAATTCCGACCACCTCCTGCTTCAGCGAACCATTGCGCCATCCCTCCGGAATCCGGTGGTTCCAGGCCCCGAACCGTCCAGATAATAAAAACATAACCCACGCCTATCAAAAATGCCATCTCCTCACCCCTTCCCCCCCCTCCACAGCCCCAACAGCACACGATGGCCGCCTCGGAATCCAAACACCAAGTGATCATCGTCGGCGGCGGCATCACGGGGCTCACGCTCGCGCTGATGCTCCAGCGCCTCCGGATCGACTACGTCCTCCTCGAAGCCTACCAGAGCGTGACGCCCAACGTCGGCGCCAGCATCGGCCTCTACGCCAACGGCCTCCGCATCCTCGACCAGCTGGGCGTCTACCGGGACGTGTGCGCCATCTCCCAGTCCGCCAAGGCCCACATCGTCCGCGACGGCGAGACCGGGCGGCGGCTGTCGCGGATGCCGTGCGGGCCGATCCTGGAGGCGAGGCACGGCTACGCGCCCAAGTTCATGGAGCGCTGCGAGCTGCTGCGCGTGCTGTACGGCCATGTCGCCGAGAAAGAGAGGATCCTCGTCGACAAGAGGGTCCGGAGGATCGAGACTTACGAGGATAGGGTCCTGGTGCACACGGACGACGGGGCGACGTTCGAGGGCCAAATCGTCGTCGGGGCGGACGGGGTCCACAGCACCGTGAGGAAGGAGATGTGGAGGAACGCCGACGAGAAAGACCCCGGGGCCATCCCGAAAGAGGACAGGCAGAGTGCGTATAATACCCATCACAAACAACCCTCTCCCTCCCTCCCTCCCTCCCTCCCTCCCTTCCTTCTCGCCACACCGCGCGCTCACAGAGACCTCCTCCTCTTTCCCCCCTCCCACAGACATCAAATGCGAATACGCGTGCGTCTTCGGCCTCGCCAAGCCCACGCCCGGCATCGCACCTGGCGACGTCATCGCCGTCTCGCGCGCGCACTCGACCGCCGGCTGCATGGGCGGCAAAGACCGCGAAGTCTTCCTCTTCTGGTTCTGGAAGCTGCCGCAAGCGCAGCACTCGTGCGGCATCGACGCCATCCCGCGCTTCACCGACGCGGAGGGGCGGGCGGAGCTCGAGCGCGGGGGGGACGCGGTCGTGGCGGAGGGCGGGGTGCGGCTGCGCGACGTGGCGGCGAGGCTCGAGCGCAGCGCGGTGACGGCGCTGCCGCACTACGTGCTGCGGCGGTGGCACTACGGGCGCGTCGTCGTCGTCGGCGACGCCAGCCACAAGTTCAACCCGCTCGTCGGCCAGGGCGGCAACAGCTGCATCGAGTCGTGCGCCGGGCTCGTCAACGCGCTGGCTGCTGCTTTGGAGGAGGCGTCTTCTGGCGTGGCCGCGCCGGCCTGGCCGCTCGATGTGGTGCGCGGCGTGTTTGCGGCGGTCGAGGCGGAGAGGGTGCCTAGGCTTGTGGATATGGTTGAGCGCTGCCAGCAGGCTCAGTACGTGGCTGCTTGGGATACCTGGGGTATCAAACTCCTTTCCAAGTACATTGTCCCGCTCCAGTCGGATTCGAAGGCCACGGATTTCTACAGCTCCTTCATCACGGGTGGGTTGACTCTGAAAACGCTGGATTTGCCTCGGGTGGAGCACGAGTGGGCATACGATGATGAGAAAGAGAGCGGCGGCAGTGCAACGGCAAACAACAAATTGGTACTGGCTGGAGCATCGTTTGCTCTTTTCGCTGGTATCCTCGCGGTACGGGCGGTGCGGAATGGCAGGATAGGTGCTTGAAGCGTCTTTGGGCTACGTTGGGTTTTCCGGATTATTATGGGCGTCGAAACGTGGGATAGACTTAGAGCAGCGTCGGTCTCTTCATTTCCGTAGAAAGCCATTTAATACCATTCGAGAGGTATCACAGCTCGAGTCCGCTTAAGAGCACTCCTAGACGAAGTGATCATCTTAGAGCCAGTCCTTGACAACCTTTATGGGTTTAATGTGCCAAGTTTTTCCGCCGTCGGAGGTGGTTGCGTTGGACAAGGGAAAGGTGTTGCCGTAGTTCACCTCGGCGGCACTGAGGTGCATGGTGACGTTGGACTAGCCTGCATAGCTTTCTTATATTGACTAATGCATTTCGAGTCTGGGAAAACTTACTGTATCCCTTGAATATTCCGCAAGAATAGCCAGCGCACTCGTTTACGCCGTAGAAGACAATGGATTTTATGCCGGCACCTGTAGGTCATCTATTGCATTCAGAGAGGTTCGAACAATGGAGGCCATACCGCTCGACTAAGAGGAGGCAAGCTTGCCAGAGAGTCAGACCTTCTAGTCGATTCCGGTAGTGTCCGAATTGACCGAAACTACGATTGAGTCGGCATTGATGAACGCACGTACAATTCAACATGGTAATGAACTTTCAGAGTCGAGCTAAAAATCAGTGAGAATAGTCTGGTTTCAGAGACAAGTTGACCGTCAGCTTGGAACTCTTTCAGTCGGTTTGGATCACCATCGTGCTGCTATCGCCTGTGGCGATGCGCCACAGCCCTCCACTAATTATGCCACACCAAAGCCCATCTACCTGCTATTATCCACCAACGCCCGAAATCACTACTCATCATAACCGGTCGTTATCGCTTAGCGCCCATCCAAGACATCTCCTTACCCAAGTATTCGTTGCTCATCCAATCGTTAGTTTCTTCTCTACAAGCGCTTCCATCCGACGAAAGCCCCTCAATTGACCGCGACGTCTGCCAGCGGAGCTCTTGAGCCGAAACGCGTAAAGTCATCGTTGACCTTCCGCCTGAACAGACCAAGATCCTTCAGGAACTCATCCGCATGAGACTGCAACTCTGCAGCAAGCAGTTCATGCTGATCTTCCTCCTCGACGAGCTTCCTACCCGCATTCGGCTCGTTCTCCTTGTTCTCGTGTTCAGGAGCGACATTTTCCTCCTCTTCCTCCAGTCCACCGTACAGATCCAGACCCTGGATAGGTGGCAGCACGATGGGGTTCTTCAGCTCGCCCAATGCAAGAGCCAGATGGCGACGCAAAGCTTCCGACTCAGCACGCAAAGTTTGGTTGAGTGGACGGAGTTCCTCGACCTCTGCAGTCAAGGCCTTGATCTTGGCCTCGGAAACCTGGCGGGTCTCCTCCATGAGACGCTGCATGACTTCTACCCGGCGCTGATAATCCTCCAACTCCGCTGCCTCGGCCTGTTGGCGGCGTAGGGTAGAGGCGTTGACCGAGGTCTGCAGTTGGCGAATTTGCTCGGCCATGGCGGAAATCTGGGCGTCGCGCTCGGCAGACGACATGGAGTCTTCGTTGATGGTAGCACGAGTGCGGATGCGCTTAGCTTGGTCGGCATAACGAAGAGTCGACAGAGTCTCGTCGTAATCGGCGGGGGCGACGCAAGCAACCATGGCGGTCTTACTATTGCCACCGAGAGAGTCCTTCAACAGCCAGGTCAGGACACTGTCGCGGTAGGGAACAATCTCGCGCTTTTTTCCATGGCCACTGCGGGGGCGGCCGTCAGATGTGGAGCCGCTGCCAGCATTCTGAGCCAGAGCTGCAATCACACGGCCAAGGGTTGTAAGAGACTTGTTGATCTTACCACCCTCAAGCAGACGCTGTCCTGTAGCCTCGGTGCTCTTGGCACGCTCAGATCCAGCCAGGTCGACAAGACGCATGCGAGCCGAGCGCTCGATCGTCTCATCAGTGAGCAACGAGTGTTGCATTTGCTTGAGATTGATGGTGAAGACGGCGTGAGAGCGCGACGAAGAGTCGTTCATCTTAGTGGCAGCGGTCGTACGGTTCTGGAGTACATCAGATCATGCATCGTGGGATGTGGTTGGCCTAGGGCACTCACAAGATCACCAATCTTCATAAGACGCTCAACATCTGCATGGCTTCGTACAGCCGCGTCGGTCAGGCCCTGAACATAAACACCATCGGTCTGGGACTCGCGGATTTTCAAGTAGACAGGCGGATTGGTGCGATGGGCCAACAGATCGCAAACGTGCTCGTTGTAAACTTCAAAGTAGGACACGTGAACGCTGTAAGTGGTGTTGGGGCTCGGTTCGTTTTTGATGCGGTCGAAAAGAGCCTCGCAAGTGCGCGGGATCAGACCGGGCTGCTCGGGTGTGCCCATCATGGTGTAACTCTTGCCGGAGCCAGTCTGGCCGTAGGCAAAGATGCAGGTGTGGTAGCCATCGAAGTTGTGGTCGAGAAACTCCTCGCCGAACGAGCTATAGACGTCTTCCTGGTGGGCGTAGTGCGGATCCGACTCATTGTGGGACCAGAAAGACTTGTCGAAGATGTATGACTTCTCGTCGTAGACCTTGCGGCTGTTGACGCGCGAGTTTGCGGGGTCGGTGGCTTCGGCGGGCGGCAGAAGGGTCGTGGTCTGGGTGGCTGGGTCCATGCGAATGAGGCATTGGGCGCCACGCTCGATCTCTGTCCATTGTCAGGGGGCACGCGCGGGCGTGGTGGTGGTGGCACACGAGGACTCACCTCTGCGCACGAAGGCGCGACATCGCACGACAACCTTGACGTTGCCGGGGTCGTCCATGGCGGATTGCGGTGGCTGGGGCTGAGGCTCAAAGGCGCGGAGGGAGGGAGAGGAGGCGGTAGACGCGAAGTCGTAGTAGTTGCGGTAGGCGTGGGTATCCATGGCGGCTTCCAGAAGTGCACAACACGTTTCCAGGTCGCGCCGGCGGCGGAGAGCGAGGAAGGTGTACATACAGTGTTTGCCTTTTGCCGGATCGCGCCTAGCCGGGGGATGACGTAAGAAGATCACCGGCCGGGGGATGCGCCTGCAGCGCGTTGTCCAGGGCTGCCGGCGCGGCCGTGCGAAAGATGAGTGGACGGGATCGCTGCAAGAGCGCTGGCGACAGCGGGTGGATGCTGCGCTGGAGTCGCACCACAGCACCACGCGTTTTGTTGGTTGACCCGGCGCTTGTTTGTGTCCTGACAACCGCGTTCGCGTTCGCGTTCCAGCGGGAGCCCGGCGCCTAGCGTCCAGACGTCACCACCGCTCGGCCTCGCGGACAGTCGCAGTTGCAGTCGCAGTTGCAGTCGCAGTCGCAGGCGTGCGCTGAGCGCTGAGCGCGAGCGTTTCCTGGCAATGCGATGCCCTGCACCGGCGCAGGCGCTTGGTATATTTCGTGGCCGGGGTGCGCCTGCAGGCTCGGCTGGTGATGCTTGCCTCCGTGTTGTATGTATACCTAGCATGTGCAAAGGATGCCTGAGGCGCCAAGCGCACTGACCAGCTCGCTGCTGTTCTGCAAAATCCGCAGGCGCCGACTCCCTCGCACCGCAAAAGGGAAAGAAAAAAAAATCCTGGCCGCCCTACGACGTGCATTGCTCACTGGCTCTCCGGCCTCCGTTCGCTGTGCTGCCCCTCGCCGGCGTTTCTAAGGAATGGCCTCGTCATCCGCTGAGGGTTTGGCCCGCCTCTTCCTGGCCCGCCTTCCGCCAGATGAACAGCCTGCTGCAGTGGACGCCGTCATCACAGACTTGTATGAGCGCACCACGCTACGCCATATCGATTGCCCATCTGCCATCCTGTCTGCCGAACTGTCCGCTGAGCTGCTGAAAAAGTGTCCAGAGGTGAGAGGTTCCTGCGAGAGGTGAAAGTGAGCAGAAGACGCCCTTCTCGCCCCCTGCGTGGCTGCGCTGACGGGCTCCAGACCAATGAGAAAAATGCGTCGGCCGCTCGGTTGGGGCGTGTGTTGATGGAGATTATCAACAACACTACCCACGATGCCATCCCTTCTGACCTTGTCCAACTTTGCATCCGTCATCCATCTCTGGCAAGCCATGTCTTCGCTGAAGCCACTTCCTTCCTTGCCCTGACCTCTGCTCGGCTTAGAAGTGAAGGCGCTCTCGCTGCCCCAGCGTCTGCCGTTAGCTGGACCTCTCCCGTGCTACCGCTGGAGTCCTCTACCAGCGATGAACAAGCAGACCGCACTGTCCTCTATCTGACTTTTCTCAAACTTTTCTTCTGGTCGAATGCTGCGTGCACCGTCTCTGTGGATCTCCTCCAAGCTCTGCTTGTCGTCCTAGGCGCCCGTGCTGAGAAGTTGGCCCATGCAAGTAGAGACTGTCTTGCTGCCGCTTTCCACAGTCTTCACACTGGCACCGCCGTCCTCGACGAAACCCTTGAGCCCGTCTCGGGCGTGTTCGGCCCTCTGAAGATCCCTATTGGAGAATCCATATGGAGTCGGATCATCGACCTGCTTTCTACACCGTCGGATCTAGGTTACTGGCCTTCCGCATTCCACATCTGGTTCCGCTGGTTTGCGCTTAAGGGGCATCTCGGTCCTTCCCGCTCGATCATGAAGCAGCATCAGTACTGGGAGTCTTTGCAACTGGGTCTGCGGGAAGGCTACTCCGAGCAACGAAAGTTTTGCTTGCACATCCTGACAGCGTCAGTTCGCATGGCCATGGCCGAGGGCGAGGATTTACATCCGTATGTCTCAGGTGCCACACAACCCGGCTTCGAAACCAACTTCACCAAATACTGTACGCTCTTTGAGACCATCATCCTCGGGAGATATCTCAATCAAATAGAGGAATGCATGCCGGATCTACAAACCCTAGCTTGGAAATCAAGCATACATCCCACATGGATCATCACTCTTTTGCGAGCTTCTCTCCGCTCTGGAGTTCAGGACGGCATTCGTAAACTCGTCGGAAACAGGATTTTGCAAGGCCTCATCCCAATGCCACAGGCCGCTTCTGACGCCTACCAGGGGCTCCTTGCATCGGCTTTCCTACCGTGGGCTACACAGGGCTTTTTGTTCACGGCGAGCCTCCGACGGAACAGCCACCATGTTCGCTGCGAACACGCCGAGAGTCTGTGTTCTTTCATCTCTCAACTTCTAGATGGTTGCGCCGAGGGCCAATCCCGGCAGACTTTCGCAAGAGTCATTCTCTCATTCATTGAAGAGCGAGGCCAGTACTTCTTTCCACAGGCGCTTCCTTACTGCCTGCAGGGGATCATCGATGGGTTCGCGCGAGAAGGTGGAATCAGGACAAAGCTAGCAGTCGAGGATATTCCCCTGCTTGTCCGAGTGGCAACCCGTTCCGGCCTCCCCGAGGTTGCGCGTGATTGCTCAACTGCTGCAGCATCGGTTCTCATCGAAGAGGCCGTCTCAGACCAACCGGAGCTGCTGAAGGCAATGCCTGGCTATCATCTTTTAAAGCAACGCTGGGATGACGTTCGCAATCCGAATGATATCAAGTCTGAATCTGCCCTCGATATCGGCAGGCTCAGCTTGGACGCCGAAAGTAAAGCACCCCTCAAGTCATTCGTGCAGACACTGCACGAGAGTCAATATCGTTGCCTGCAGGGCGACGGACTTCTCATTGCATGTCGCCACCTAGCCCATGTAATTCGCCAGGACAGCGAATTGGAGCCCAAGGACCTGCATACCACGCTAGAAGCAATTTGGGACGAAATGGAAACTCAAGAATACCCAAGGCCTTCTCTCATGCTGCTGCCGGAAATTTTTTACCACCCCAAGTGCCTTCGCGCTGCATCGGAAGAGACGAGGACCTTCCTGGCTCGGGCATTGCCCGACTTTCACACCTTCACCGAGGGAAAAATCTATGTTCTTCCGCCGCTGGTCAAGGCACTTCGAAGGGCTTACCTCCAGGTTCCAGAGATGGTCGACTTCTTACCGCTTGAAGAGTTCATTGTCCGCTTTGCTACTCACCCACCGACGGCGAAGCTGGAATTTTTGATGGAGGCGGCGGTCGCTGAGAAGCTGGCTGCCATCGTGCCACACCGTACGTACACGTCGTATTACGGCCCGGGAGAATCTCAAGGATATGCGGCCATGTTCGACCTGTTGAACAGAATTCCCGAGTCTGACAACGCTTTCGCCAAGCGCATTTTCGACCAGCTGTTACAACCTTGGGTAAACCAGAGGTTGCCCATACCGATGGTTAGCAAGTGGAAAGCCACAATCCAGGTGCAGACAATGCTGCTTCTGTCTGAGAATTGCTTGGTAGCCGCGCCAAAGGACGAAGTTGCGCTATACCTGCGAAAGTTTACGAAGATCCTCTCGGTGGAGCCTCTACCTCGCTATCGTTTCCTCTGGGAGTGGATGATTGCTCGGATCTACGTGCGAGAGCCCGAGCAGCGCAAAGAGTTGCTGGATGTGCTCGGAGGCGACGATCACTCGAACCCGAAACACTTGGCCTCGGTCATGAAGATGGCGGTAATGGTGGCCCGTCTCCCCGACACCAACGAGGAATTTGGGCACAAGCTCATGACGTCTCTGATTGCGCTTTCAGCCAGCCCCAAGATTGTCATTCGGCATGAGGCCCAATGGTCGTTCCCACCGCTTTGGGATCATGCCGAGGTCTGCGGGTGGACGAAGGTGACGAACAATCCGGCCTTTTCAGCTCTCAACACTCACATCAGGTCCCTCGACAAGTACTCGACCCCTCCGCCACAACGGATACTCAAATGGCTGGACCCGATAAAGGACCACGACATGGAGCTTCTGTTCGGAGGAAAGTATCTCGACTTTGATCCTGCCGAGGCCAGGCTCGTCTCGACCCATGACTTCAAGGCTGTATGGGCGGAGGATGAGCAGGACTGCAATTACCCGCCTCCACAGATGCCACTAGGAGAGCACGAGATGGAGAACACGGCCAGCGACCCCGCAAGCGAATCCAAGGAGCAGTTCTCAGCCGTGGTCGGTGCGGACGATGCTGCTGGCTTCCTGCAGACCAAGGGCATGGCATGGCAGGAGGCGTTGCTTGCATCGCCGGCGGCGTCATCGACGCGGCCCAGCACGCCGTTGATCCTGGTCGGTTCTCTGATCGACAATGCCTACAACCTCGGCGGCCTTTCGCGGGCCGGGGAGATCTTTGGGTGCGCATCCATGTACATGCGGACTCTGGAGACGCTGAAGCACAAGGACTTCACGTCGGTGTCGGTGTCGTCACACTCGCACATTCCGATCCATGCTCTCCCGCCAACAGAACTTCCCGAGTTTTTGCGGGCGTTGAAGGTGGAGGGATACAAGGTGGTAGGAGTAGAGCAAACGGACCGAAGCCTTGTGCTGGGTGCGCCGGGCAGTGATCTGCCGGAGAAGTGCGTGTTGGTGATGGGAAGTGAGCGAGAGGGCATCCCCGGCACGGTGCTGGCCGAATGTGACGTCTGCGTAGAGGTCCGTCAGGTTGGTGTGACGAGGAGCCTGAATGTGCAGACGGCGGCGGCAATTGTATTGTACGAGTATCAGAGACAGCACTACGGGAAATAGGGGAGTTGATGTAGCGGCAATGCAGAATCGAAGACGGTTTTCTCGCTGTGACATGCCTTCCGTAAGGCTGCGGCGGCGCACTTTCCCGTTCGGAAAACAGGATCCCGCGGCGAGGTGACAGCGAGGTGGCATGCGCCTCCAGGCCTGGCAGCGATGACAGCACGATGAAAATTTTGGTCCGCAAACCGTCGCTAAGATGATGATGCACATGCGCAGGGCGGATGATGGGAGCGAGGTCGGCTGGCATGACTCGCGTGTGCTGGGCCTCGGCTTATCGGATGCCTGTACCTACCTTTTGCTCGTCCATGTGCGAGCTCCACGCTGCCACCGCGTCTATAATTTCATCGCCAGTCTGCTCGCTGCTCCTCCCCCACGAGCTACTGCCCAAAGACCCCGCCGCTTTCCCGTCATGAGCTCCTCGGAGAGCGGTGCGCCACCCGCTCTGCGCCGCCAGCAGCTGCGCGCGCTGCTCGCCAGCTCCCTGCGTTCGTCCGACGCCAACCTTCTGCGCTTGTCGAAGCTGCTGTCGTACCCCGCCGGCGTCGACAGCACCCTGTGCACCATCAACTACACCCTCACCTTCGTGCGCACCGGCCTGCAGAAGCACCTCGAGGCCAAGCTACGCTCCCTCGCCGTGGGCATAGCCGAGAAGGCCTCGGATGCCCTCTTGCCCGGCGACACTCTGATCGCCTCGCTCCCGCCCACGCCCGCAATCCGCCGCCTCACCCGCACCGCCGATGCCACCAAGAAGCTCGAGTCGCTGATCTCAGACTTCCGCGTCTTCGTCCGCATGTGGGGCCTGCTGGACCTGTACATCTGGGGCCGCGCCACCTACCTCTCTCCTCCGGCAGACGGCGTCGTGCGGACCATCACCTGGGCGCAGGTTGTCGTGAATGTCCTGTTCCAGGTGCTCGAGAACGGCGCGTACCTTGCCAGCAAGGGCATCCTGAACACGGACGGCTGGACGGGCGAAGCGGGCGCGAAGAGGCAGACGTCGTGGTGGCTGTGGAGCGCGCGCTTCTGGGCGGCACACGTCGGACTCGAGCTGGTCCGGCTGGGCTATGTGTGGCAGCAGGAATCCGCGCAGGCCAGGGCCGAAGGCGAAGAAAAGGAAGACAAGCTGGAGCGGAGGAAGAAGTACCAGCGGTGGTGGAGGGACCTCATCAGCAACGCCGCCTACGCGCCGCTGACGGTGCACTGGAGCCTGGAAGAGGGCTGCGTGAACGACACATTAGTGGGCATTTGCGGAATGGTGGCGGGCGGCGTGGGCCTGCGCGACAAGTGGCGGCAGACAGCAGCTTGACGAGCGTGATGGAGGCCGGGGCAGCGAGCCGATGGCGTTGCGGGCCGTGATACCAGCTGGGCCGGACCCAGCGTCGGCCCCAACGCCTCTGCCTCCGGACTGCCGCTGTGCCGCCGCGCCCTGACGACGGCCAGGCAGGTGGCCTGAGAGCCCGAGTGCTCTACGCGAGCAGCGCTGCCTCCCCTTTGACCTGGTTGGAGGCGCCCGGCCGCGCTCCAGCCCGCCCTGCGCCCCGTCCCAGCGGCCGACGGCTCCTTTTGGACTGTAGAAAATAGACTTGTTTCGTCGTCCCCGCTCTTCCTGGGCTGCGAAACAGCCGTGTTTCGACGCATGAACGCCAAGCCGTCTCATCAATCTTCGGCAAACCGCAACGCCCGACCCGCCTGCGCGCCAGACCGTCCACCAGCCGCCGTGCCTTGTCCCATCCAGGCAATTTGCGTCCCCACGATCGTCCCCTTTCCTATTGATGGAGAAACGTCCGCAATCAAGCTGCGGCGCGCCAAATGCCCGTTGCCGCCAGCCTGGTCGGCCTCGCTTGCTGAACACCACCGTGCGTCCCATGGAAACGGATAACGACTGTGACATATATACCCGCCATCTGCCTGATGTCTTGAGACCAGCATCCCACTGCTAGCCAGTCCATTCGCTCGCACCAACTTTCCATTCATTCGTTCTCGGCCCGGTGCCTCTTCAAACCTTATCTCACCCCATAAACGCCATGTCTTTCAAGTCCCTTGCTGTCCTCGCCGCCGGTGCGGCCACCGTCAACGCCCACGGTGTCATCCTTGACATTGTTTCCGGCGGCAAGACCTACGAGGGCTGGAACGCCAACTACGTCTACTACAACCCCGTCCCCCAGGTTGCGGCCTGGCAGGCCGGTGGCTACGGCCACGGCCCCATTGTCGGTACCCAGTACACCACCGCCTCCATCAACTGCCACGACGACGCTGTTGCCGCTCCCGTCTACATGGAAGCCGCCGCCGGTGACGACATCGCCATCTCCTGGGGTACCCCTGGCAGCCCCCCGAGCGCCTGGGTAAGCATCCCCGAACTCCGTCCGTAATTGACTGCAAGCTGACTGGTTCGCATGAAGCCCACGAGCCACCACGGCCCCATCATCACCTACATGGCCCCCTGCGGCGGCGCCGACGCCACCGGCGACTGCACCGCCCTGAACGTCACCGACCTCGCCTGGACCAAGGTCTACCAGAAGGGCCTCATCACCGGCGGCGACGTCGACAGCCAGGTCTGGGCCACGGACGAGCTCATCACCAACAACAAGACCGTGGTCACCATCCCGTCGTCGCTCGCGCCCGGCAACTACGTCCTGCGCAACGAGATCATCGCCCTGCACGCCGGCGGCGAGGTCAACGGGCCCCAGAACTACCCCCAGTGCTACAACGTCAAGGTCACCGGCTCCGGCTCCGGCAAGCTGACCGACGGCGTCAAGGGCACCGCCCTGTACACCCCCGAGGACACCGTCTTCAACATCTACGCCAACATCGACACTTACCCCTTCCCCGGCCCCGAGCTCTGGAGCGGCGCTTCGTCCACCTCCAACGCCACGAAGCGCTGGGCCCGTGGCTTCAAGGCTTAAATGACTTTTTGACGAGAGATGCCTGGTTGGATTTGAGAAAAAAAAGGACAAAACACCAGCAGCCTATTCTTGTAGATACTTGCGACGTTTGTTTTTTGGGCTTCAACTTAAATACTTTATCCATCGCTGTCTGTCTGTCAACAAACAGACCTGCAGCGTCGTCTTTGTTCTTCACCGAAAATATATTTTGGTCGCTTGCGAAAGTTTGAGATTCCCGTGTTCTGTGCTGTTATGTTTCTGCCGCGAAACTCACTCTTTGCTGTGCGACGGCCGTGCCCGACCGAGTTGGTGTCTGTGGTTGTTTCTGTTCTTCTCAGCGCAACGACGAGGGCTTTACGCGGACGACGCCTACCAATTAGCATGCCTGTTGTTCACTGCTTGATTCTAATTTGGTATTGTGTCAGACGCGTTTGGGTATCTGATGTACCAGACCTTTTTTTCCCTGTCGCGTCTTGACAGCTAATGCATTTTGTCCCCCCTTCCTATCACTAACTATGGACCGAGGGGTGCCAAGTATGCCATCACACATAATCGTACGGCATCGACGCGACCACGGAAACCACACCACGAGATGTGGCCGACCAAAATCCAAGATTTGGTTGCTTTCCGGCCCATCCTCTCCGCATCTTCCCTACATCCCAAGCTGATGAACGGCCCCAAAGAAGATCAAATAACGACTTTCAGGGCTCTCCGCCACGCAGGCATGGCAGCGACCCTCTCGCGCTCAGCCATGATGCGATCCCAATCGACGGCGCGGCGACCGGTGTCGACGTCGATCTGGGAAAGCGTCAGCCAGCCCGTCCGTTTCCAGAAGTAGCCGCAGATCCAGAAGAAGCCGACGACGAAGAGGGCGAGGTAGTCCTTGAAGAAGCCTTCGGCGTCGTTGAGGCCTCCGCCGACGGGGCTGATGGCGATGTAGAACTGGAGAGACGTGCTGACGTTAGCGAAAAGAATTCAGGGATTGACGGGGATTGGAGGGACGGGCTTACCTGCGCGATTAGGACCAGGACTACGAGTCCGAAGCCGATCCATGAGCCGTACACGCCGCCGACGGCGTGGAAGGGGATCTCGTCGACGGTGTGGCCGTGGTAGGCCCAGGCGGCGCGGAAGCGGATGTGGGCGACGCAGATGCTGCCCCAGGTGAATAGCGCGGCCAGACCTGACAGGGCGACGAGCCAGTCGAAGACGATCTGGCCGTCTTTGTCGAGATTGATGTAGGCCAACAGACTGCAGGCGATGACGGCGATGGTTGACCATAGAGGACGGCCGGCCTTGTCGATGTAAGTGAAAATCTTGGGGGCGTAGCCTTGCTCAGCGAGGGCGGTCAAGGTACGAGATCCGCCGTAGACGCCGGACAGGCCGATGGAGATGACAGAAACGAGAATGACAACGTTGATGAAGCTGTCGAATCCAATCAAACCAGCGTCATTGGCAGCGATGACGAAAGGAGAAGCGGCAACATCAATAAAAGGGTTGGCGCCGAGGAGCCTGTCGTCGTTGTAGGGAACCAAAAGCCCGACAAAGAGAAGAGACAGGATGTAGAAGCTGCATTCACAGTCAGCATCATGAGTTCAAACAGCGACATGCAGGCTTGCAGCCTTACAGAGTGATACGCCAAAAGACCTGCTTGACGGCACCTGGCAGCTGCTTGGCAGGGTTCTCCGACTCGGCAGCGGCCAGACCGACCAACTCGGTTCCGGAGAAGGAGAAGGCGGCTGTGACAAAAACGGAGCATACGCCCTTAAAGCCGTTCGCGAAAGCACCCGGGTCGTACCAGAGACGGGCTCCCCAGTACTCACTGAAATTTCCATTGGACGGACCTCCGCCCAGTACACAGACGAGGGCGATGAGAAGGAAGATGATAATGGTGGACAGCTTTAACAGCGAGGACCAGAACTCTTCTTCAGCATATCCCAAAACACCAAAGATGTTGATGAATATGATAGCGACAAGGAAGACGGTAATCCAGACGCCCACATTGAGGTCTACCCCCCAGTAGCGTACCGTCATACCGGCGACAACAAGCTCCAGAGGGAGAACAATAGCCCATTGGAAGACGTAACTGCCCGGATGTTTAGCCTCGATAAGATTGTCATGGCGACCACAGTGCTTACTTCCAACCCATAGCAAACCCCCAGGACGGATCGATGAAGCGAGTAGAGTAGGTGTAGAAACCACCACTGACTGGGTACATGACGGCGAGTTCTCCGAGGGCGTAGACGACGTTGAAGATCATGATACTTTGCGCGAGTTAGTAAAGAGGAGCTGTTAACGCGGAGGGCACAGTACCCAATGATTCCAAAGTCAATGAGCAGAGCAGCAGGGCCACCAGTGTTGAGGGCGCCTCCAGAACCGACGAACAGACCGGCTCCTATGGAACCACCGATGGCGATCATGTGTAGATGGCGCTTCTGCAAGGACTGGTTGAGCTGGTTGTCTACGTTCGCCTTGGTGCGGCGCTGGAAGGACTGGGGAGTGAAGCCCATCCTGGTCCAGAGACCGAGCTTCTCTGGATGCTCTTCGGCGTAACCAGCCTGTGGCTCTGCGTAAACTGGGGGTACTTCATCGCTCCCGCTGGTCTTAATGCCGCCCTTCTCTACGGCATCTGCCTTGTCAGCCATGGCGGCGTTGGACGGGGGCTTTTGAAGCGAAGGAGAAGAAAGATTGGATTGAACCGAGGCAGAACGGCGTGAGAGGGCGAGGCACAAAAAGCGCAAGGAAACGCATTCCTCTTAAGCTGCAGTGCAGGGCATGGCAGCGGCTTGGCCTGGGAAGCACGGCACGTCTAGGATCGGGGCAGTTCTGATACGAGGGTCTGGGGAAGGCTTGGCGGATCCGCGGGGCGGGCATTGCATCTTGGGGTGTGCTTGGGGGCCGCCATGGGAAGCCGACCTTCCATAAGAATTCTAGACTGCCAATGCACTGCAGACAGAGCCAAGGACTGGTTGGGGGCGGAGGAGCATCGATAAGTGCAGTGTGGCGGAGACAGCGACCGGCAGGCTCTTGGCAGCCAGCGGAAGGGTGGATTGAAGATAAGAAAGCACCGCGTCCGAACGATATGGTCGTAGAACGAGAATCAAGCCCGTGCTTGGCGGCTTGTCGACCTTTCGGCATGGCAAGCAGGCATTGGAGGTAAACAGTCAGATGGAGCGGCTGTCGCCTGTTGCTAATTGGACGGGGGCTGGACTGGGTGCTTGGCAGCGGGCGGGGTGGACGACTGGATGCGATCCCCTGCATTCTTCGTGCGACCCCAAGTCAACCCGCACTGGCGGAATATGTGAAGGATTGCAAGGGCTGCTGCACTCGCACACGTGGCGTCGTTTCACCTCGGCTGCGCGTGAGGGCGTGGAGCGGTGTCGCGGGCTGGGCCTGCGGGGCGGAACACCATGGCTGTGGCGGTGGCTGTGGCGGTGGCCAGGGACAGAAGTGAAGGTCGAGGTCGAGGTGAAGGCGAAGGTGGAAGTGGAGGTCAGAGCGGAAGGCGGAGGTGCACGGCGGGTTCTCACCTTCCTATTCGAGAAATTGGTGGCTGAGCACGCCCACCAGTGCTCCTCGCACAACCACCACCACAACCACGCCATCCGCGCCTATAACCAGCACGCTGACACTTGGCAACAGATGCGTACTGTTCGTGTTCTGCTGTGTCAGCGCCCGGTCCTGCCGCCCCTGCCGCCTCAGCTTCTGAAAGACATCGACCGCATCGACATTAACGTCATCCACTCAGCCGCCGGTCCTCGCCTACGTGCCGAGTGCAACCGACTTATGGCGCACCAAGGCCGCCCTGAGCCCGTTGGGTCAGCCAGAGTCACGCCAGCCTACTGTGCCGCCGCTCAACTCGTCTTACTTTCGAAGAAGGAGAAGAGCGCTATCAGGATTTCCTGGACGAGGTAAGACGGAACTGGTGCGCTGGGGCGAAGGGAAGGTCAGACTGATCAGGGGCGGTGAACAGGCTTCCGGCCTTGTCGACTTTGGCCTGAAAGCCGAAGGCAATGCCGTCGGCATCGATGAAAAATCGGCGATATTGTAGCCGTTCTTTGTCGAAGTAGTTAAAATTAATTCATATCAGATAGGAGAGAGGACGAGCTTATTGAAGAAATAGAGATAAGGACATACCGGTCAAATCAGCTTTGTGGATCTGGTCGAGAGGGGCACCTTTTCATACCAAGTCCCTCAAGACCCGACCACTACGGTTGCGGGCGAGTTCACCATCGCGCGGGCAACGCAAGCCCTCGAAACGGGAAAGCCATAGTGACAATGTTGGTCTTCGGGTTAAGTCCTCGTCCGGCCTGCGCCTATCTACTTTCCAAGGCGGATTCGCGTGTCCCAACTGTCTTTTCAACGCCTAACGTGCGTGCGTTGACTGAGAGCCGTCAATCAGATTGATCCATCACCGTGAGTGCTGTTGACCAGCTGAAGAAAACACCGTTGGCTTGAAACCTTAGCATTGTTATGTAGAAGCGAGAGGGTGCAATATTGCGTGGAGGAGATCTTCGACAAGTTCTGGGTAGAACTGGTGATTACCCTTGGGGCAAAGTCACAAAGCACACCACACCGCTCCGACACCTTCGCCAATCACCCAGGCTGCTGTCGTCAGCAAGGAAGCGCAGCTGGTGCAATGAGACGTCAGCGACGGGCATGGATCCATACAGAAGACTTGATTCGTACAGTCATCAACATCGTCTCATCTCGACTACTATCCAATTTCATCCGCACTTTCCCCTCGGCCGATGGGCAAATGGGAGTGAGAATCTGGGCGACCGGCGATAGGCGGCGGACATACCAACCAGGACTCCGCTAACCCCGCGTGGATCACATACTACCTCCTTCCACCCGCCAATTGCCCAATCATCTGCTCAATCTCATGGACCGCGTTGCCGCTGGCCTTGGCCTTCAATTCTGCCAGGCTGTTCATATCCTTCGCCTTGAGCGCCTCCTCACCTGCCCGCACGACCAGGCCGCATTTGACCCACATTTCTATGCGGTCAGTGACCGGTAGGTTTGTGCACTTCGGGATGAAAAGAGCCGCAGTTCGCGTGTTCCCGGCTGAGAGGATCTCGTTAAAGAAGGCCTAGGAGGGCGGGCGTCAGCACTAAAAATCCCACCGGAAGACACAGATATGGGATAGACAGCGGAGCGAAGACTCACCTCCCAGCCGATGGGGCTCTTTCGGACTTTGCTGATCTCCTCCAACTCGTTCCAGTCCCTCTTGGCCACAAGTCCACGCAATCTGAGCCACCAGTATGTCTTTTCGGGCACCTTGAACTCGGACTGCACCTTCTGCGCACGTTTCATGTGGCCCGCGCGCACGAGGCGGAAGACGGTCTCGTTGATGGAAAGACCCACAAATCCTGTCACCGCTAGATCCTTCTCGAAGGCCTCTTGCAGCTTTAGCAAGCGTTGTGCTTCATCGATGGCTTTCACGTTGAAGCTGTGCTCACGCGAATCCTGGAGTAGCTTGCCGGCAAGCTTGAGCTTATCAATGCAAAGGCTTGTGCTAGGCTGCTCAAGCGCCTCGGCAATGAGGATATTAGAGCCGTCAAGGCGGCGATCGTCTTGGTAGTAAAGGTCCTTGAGCAATTCCCTGTCTTGCTCGAGTGCAGAAGACTCCACCAGCGCCGTGGCAACCGGTCGGCTGGTGACGGTTCTGAAGAAGCTCGCCAAGGTGAGTTGTTTCTTCAGGTGCAAAAGGACATGAAACACGAGATCGGTGTCTCCGCTCTCAATCGCCTTGTCCAATGCTATCGTGTCTTCTTTCATGTCCAGCAACAGGGGAACCTGTTTCCCAGCACGGGGCTCATAGTTCAATAGTTCTGTTGCAAGGCGTGCACGGCCTTCATCATATGCTGCCCTTGCAATCTCCTCGAATGACACACCTTGCTTACCTTCGAGCTTCTGCACAATCATACGGCATATGCTCTCCTCATCGTCGTTGGAAATGCGGACTTTCTGGCTGGCCCAATGTACGTAGATACGATCCGTCGGAAGGCGGAGATAATCAGATATCTTGAGGGCGATTTGATATTCGTGGCGGTTGATGAGTCGCTCAACAAGTTTCTCGGGCGTCAATCGCATGTACTGGTCGTAGGAAAGAGGCAGACCAATCTCGTAGAAGCGGACCGCATTGAGCACACGGAGAGTTTCGCACATGTCGACAAAGTCGTCACTGTTGTAGAGGTCGAGCACCGACTTGCCGAATGACGCAGCCTTGAGCAATTGCTTCTGCCAGTGAATGCTGTACTCATGGCCTGCGGCCTTCACGCATATATCAACCGCTTCAGCCAGATTGGGCCGGATCATCTGGATCAGGTCGTCAGCCTTTGGCGATTTCTTTTCCAGATGATCAACCGCATCCAGGAGCACGGCAGCCGAAGAGGTGGAGCCCAGACGAAATGTCTCCTCGCTCACGTCAGGGACACGCTGGACGAATTCACAAACATCATTCGTCAGTACTCGGATGCCGTCCACGTCGGGCAGGAGGTGAACGAAGCTGTCGTAGAAGAACTTGGTCGCAGATCCGTTGGGCCCAACAAGATGAATCTCATCCTCCCAGGCCAGAACAACTGAGCTGTTACCGCACCACTGCATGTCCTTGGGCACCGTCCTCGCTCTGGAGTCGTACTCGCTGAGCTTGTTCTGGAAATCGCTGCTGACAACCCAGACCTTGTTGTCCTCGGTGTACAAGGCGACGTACTTGCCATTGGGCGAGACGCTTGTGTATCTGAAAGGCCCGCGCTGCAGCATGCGGTCCTCGCAGTCGGTGGCGTCGACAAGATAGATGGTCTCGCCAATTGCGAGGAGCACCTCAACCGAGCGGGAGAGGGTTTCGGTAGGCGGGATCAGGGCCCAGGACTCCACGGGGTCCTCGGGAGCGAGGGCCAGCAGCTTGGGGCGCGGCTCATCGTAGCGGGCAACGGAGACGAGGCGGTTGTTGTTGAGCAGGGCGACGAAGCCGGAGCCCCAGAAGCGGCAGGCCTTTACGCCGACCTCGTCGGCGCCGTGGCCAAGGGTGAAGGGCACAAAATCGCCGTGCAGGTGCTGGTAGCAGCGCACGGTGCCATCGTCGGTCACAACGAGCAGCTTCTCGTCCAGCGACCAGCCAATGCCTTTGACGGAGCCCTTGTCCCAATTGATGCGGCGGATGAGCTTGCCGGCGCAGCTGTAGATGTCGATGGAGGTCTTGGCCTGCTGCGAGGCGCGGTAGGTCTGGAGCTTTTCCTCGTCGCGATAGATGGCTAACAGGGTCAGCGCGGGCGTCAGGGCGGGCAGGGTGCGGGAGCATACCTACAGCGCCAGAGTATGGAGCGGCGACGACGTGGAAGTTCTCGAGCTCGAGGTCCTGGTCAAAGACGTCGGTATAGAGCTGCAGCTTGCGATAGAAGCGGTCGCCGACGCGCTCCCAGTCGGCAGTGGGCTTGGGCATGGCGGGGAGGCGGGGCGTTGTCGAGGCGTGCAGCTGGCGTTGCGATAAAGTTGGGCGACGCGCCTGGGGCCCGGGCGCCAGGCGATCGACGGGCTGCAGTGCGCAAGAGCCGCCCCTGCCACTGGCTCAGTGGCCCACCGCCTGTCACCTTGCAACCACCAGCCCTAGCCCACGCAACACTGCTCATCGCGGAGCTGACGCCGCCGCTGCAGCACACGCGCTGCCATGTGCCCCCACTGCCATTGCCCTACTCCGTCGCGTCCCCCTCGCTGCACGCCGCTGACATGCATTACCACCTTGCCGATCCGTGCGGACTGTCGCGTCCGCTAGCCCGCGCTAGGAAGCCTGCCTGGTCGCCGTCAGAGTGATTTATCTGCCGTCTGCACGCCGCGGACGCAGCCGCTGCGCCCTCGCCGATGCGGTCAGCAGCATGTGGTGGTGGTGGTGGTCGCGCTCGTGCACGCTCGGATCCGCTTCGTCAGCATTGCACCAATGACGACACGGGTTTATGAGCAATATGGGCGTATCTGCATGGGCGACGATGAATCATCCGCGAAAGTGTCCGGCTAATGGGCGCTTCTGCTATCTTGGGTGGTGGTGCAGCACCACGCGACCCGCCCCTGTACCCCGGTTCACCGCGCTCAGCAAGCCTGTTCCCGGACGATTACTTCCGGTCGGAAAGGTTGTGTTACAGAATTTGCGTGCGAAGACGCGGGATTGCAGGCCGTGCGCCGGACAATAATAGGCGGGAGTAGCGGGGCAGCTTAGAAATCGGTAGGTGCTATCTCCACGATGACCTCACTGCCGCTTCGTGAGAGCTTTAGGCTCGCCGCTAGCCAATTGCACCACATGCAGCGTGGCGGCGTTAGCCTTATGCCCGCTACACCGTTTACACTTTTACCACTACTCTACCCTACCACCGCAGCCTTTCCTCCGCTTGAGGCTCCAGCCAAGACCACCAAGACCACCAGGACCACCAGGACCACCAGGACCACCAGGACCACCAGGACCACCAGGACCACCCGGACCACCCGGACCACCGGGCTCTCCACCCTGTTTGTCATCACCCTTCTGCTTAAATCAGAGAGCCAGCTACGGATCCCTCTGCTTGCCAACAAAACACAAACTCCTTCTTTGTTGTCCGCAACACCATGTGGGCTACCTCAATTGCCGAAGACAGCGTCTCGCGACATCCGACTGACAATCCGTGGCACAACGCTCCTCCAGACAGACGCGAGGACCCCGCTGCCAGTCCGAGCGACAATAGCAATGATGCTGGCACCGCCCGCACCTCGGTTGCGAGCGTTGAGGGCACCTGGGGCGAGCGAGACACTGGAATCCGGGACCAGCGCCGAGCCATCCAAGAGTATGAGACTCTCCGCCGAGATCTCTCCGCCTTGTCCCAAACCCGCTCCAGGACCTCTCAGAAATCCGTGCCACGCTCGAGAGCAGCCGACGGCGAGCACTTGTTTCGTACCATCAGCGGCGTGAGCTCGCGGCATGCTCCCGCTGACGCCGCGCCATCCAGCAAGTCGGAGCTAGCAGACACCGATGGAGAAGCTCTAGAGTCCCAGGAGACAAAGGAAACCACCGGAGACACCCACCTCGACTCCTCGTCAGAGGAAGACTTCCGGCTGGAAGAATTCATGCGCGAAGGCCACTTTGAGAAGCGGACGGGCGGCCGCTCCGCCAAGAGAGTAGGCGTTGTCTGGAAGAACCTCACCGTCAAAGGCACTGGCTCTACGGCGACATTTGTGAGAACATTTCCGGACGCCGTCATGGGAACGTTTGGCCCGGATCTCTACCGCATCATAAGCCGTTTTGTTCCAGCCATCCGCCTGAACCGACATGCGCAGACTCGCGACCTCATCCACGACTTTTCAGGCGTTGTGCGCAACGGCGAGATGATGCTTGTGCTTGGCCGTCCGGGCTCTGGCTGCTCCACCTTCCTCAAGGCCATTTCGAACAAGCGGGACGATTACGCCGGCGTCACTGGTGAAGTCAACTACGGCGGTATCAGCGCAGAGAAGCAAAGGAAGCAATTCAGGGGCGAGGTTACGTACAACCCCGAGGACGACAAACACTTCGCTGCTTTGACTGTATGGCAGACCTTAAAGTTCTCACTCATGAACAAGACCAAGAAACGTGAGAGAGACGAGATCCCAATCATCGTCGAGGCCCTCCTCAAAATGTTTGGCATACCCCACACAAAGCACACCCTTGTCGGCGACGAATTTGTCCGCGGTGTTTCTGGCGGGGAGCGGAAGCGTGTCTCTATCGCCGAGACCTTGGCAGCAAAGTCGGCAGTCGTCACCTGGGACAACTCTACCCGCGGCCTAGACAGTTCCACAGCCTTGGACTACGCCAAATCCCTTCGGATCATGACCGACGTCAGCGACAGGACCACCCTTGTGACTCTATATCAGGCTGGTGAACAGATTTACGAGCAAATGGACAAGGTGATGGTCATCGATGCTGGAAGGTGCATCTACAACGGCCCCGCACAAGATGCAAAGCAGTACTTTATCGATCTTGGATACTTCTGCCCTGAGCGACAGACCACTCCCGACTTCCTGACCGCGATCACTGATCCCAACGAACGCCGTTTCCGGGAAGGCTTCAAGGACAGAGCACCGAGAACGCCCGAAGAGTTGGAGAAGGCGTACAAGACCTCGGATGTCTACAGGAGAGTTTTGCGCGACATCGAGGAGTACGAGCGGGAGTTGGAGCATAGTGATTATGCCGACGCTAGAGAGTTTGAAGCTACGACACGAGAGCAAAAGAGCAAGACAGTCATGAAGGACTCAAGTTATACCGTCAGCTTCATTCGCCAGGTGTACGCTTGTACGCTTCGTGAATTTTGGTTGATCTTCGGCGACCGGCAGACCTTGATCACTAAAGCCTTCGTTATCGTTAGCAACGCGCTCATCGTCGGCAGTCTTTTCTACGGACAACCACTTACCACTGAGGGTGCTTTCAGTAGAGGCGGTGCTCTCTTCTTCTCCATCCTCTTCCTCGGTTGGCTTCAGCTCAGTGAGCTGATGAAAGCGGTAAGCGGACGCCTTGTTGTCGCCCGCCACAAGGAATACGCCTTCTATCGCCCTTCTGCAGTCAGTATCGCTCGAGTGGTGACCGACTTCCCTATGATACTGGTTCAAGTCGTAGTCTTCGCCATAATCATGTACTTCATGACGAACCTGGATGTCGACGCGGGCAAGTTCTTCATCTACATGCTGTTCATCTACACGACAACCATCTGTATTACAGCACTTTACCGTATGTTCGCAGCACTGTCTCCATCGATCGACGACGCGGTTCGTTTTAGCGGCATTGCCTTGAATCTACTCGTCATCTTCACAGGCTACGTGATCGTCAAACCCCAGCTGACAAGTAATTACATCTGGTTTGGCTGGCTCTACTACGTCAATCCAATTTCATATTCCTTCGAAGCAGTCCTGTCGAACGAGTTTTCTGGGAGAACAATGGACTGTGCTCCGGAACAACTGGTTCCTCAGGGACCGGGCGTTGACCCCGCATATCAGGGTTGTGCCATCTCTGGCGCGTCGCCCAACTCGAGGACGGTTCCAGGATCCGATTACATTGGGGTTACGTACACGTACACGCGATCTCACCTCTGGCGCAACTTTGGAGTGGTGATTGCTTTCGCCATTCTCTACATCCTCATCACCGCGGCAGCAACGGAACTCTTCAACTTTGCGCAAAGCGGCGGCGGCGCGCTGGTTTTCAAGAGAAGCAAGCGAGCGAAACAGGTACTGAAGGAGCAAGCGAAGCCCGATGATGAGGAAAAGGCTGGTGGGTCAACGGGACTTTCTTCAAGCAATGAGGATCCGGAGCTGGCAATGGCCAAGACAAAGTCTAAGGCAGACGAAGCCCTCGACTCGATCAGCAACAGCGATAGCATCTTCACCTGGAAGAATGTTTCCTACTCAGTACCTTATCTTGGTGGAGAGAAGAAACTTCTGAACGACGTCTCCGGTTTTGCGAAACCGGGTGTCATGGTCGCCCTAATGGGTGCTTCGGGAGCAGGAAAAACAACGCTTCTGAACACCCTTGCCCAGCGGCAGAAAGTCGGTGTTATCACCGGTGATATGCTTGTGGATGGAAGGCCGCTTGACCTTGACTTCCAGCGTGGCACTGGTTTCTGCGAACAAATGGACATTCACGACCAGACGGCTACCATCAGAGAAGCACTTGAATTTTCCGCAATCCTCCGCCAGGACAAGGAGATTCCCCGCCAAGAGAAGATCGACTATGTCGATAAGGTCATTGATTTGCTTGAACTTGGCGACTTGCAAGACGCAGTCATCAGCTCTCTTGGTGTGGAGCAGAAGAAGCGACTGACAATCGGTGTTGAACTGGCCGCCAAGCCTTCTCTGCTCTTGTTCCTCGACGAGCCGACCAGTGGCTTGGACAGTAACTCAGCCTATTCCATCGTGAGGTTTTTGAAGAAGCTTTCCCAGGCAGGGCAATCCATCACGGCGACCATACATCAACCCTCGTCAATTCTAATCCAGCAGTTCGACATGATTCTCGCTCTGAACCCTGGTGGCAATACCTTCTACTTCGGTCCCGTTGGCGAGAATGGGAAAGACGTCGTCGATTACTTCGCAGAGCGCGGTGTGCACTGTCCACCCCAGAAGAACGTTGCGGAGTTCATTCTCGAAACGGCAGCCAAGGGCGGCAGAAAGGCTGATGGCAAGCGGATCGACTGGAACAAGGAATGGAAGGAATCGGAGAACAACAAGCGGATGTTGGCCGAGATCGACCGTATCAACAGCGAGCGGAAGGAGGACAGAGCCCCCCGCCAAGCAGATCAAGCGCGAGAGTTTGCTGCTCCAGTTTGGCTACAGACCACCATGCTCACCAAACGGCTATTCATCCAATTCTGGAGGGATCCTAGTTATCTCTATGGCAAGCTGTTTGTGTCTGTCATCATTGGTATCTTCAACGGCTTCACCTTCTGGCAGCTTGGGAACTCGGCGCAGGATATGCAGAATCGCATGTTCACGGCTTTCCTGATCATTGTCTTCCCTCCGGCTATCGTCAACTCCGTCGTTCCCAAATTCTTCCAGAACATGGCGCTGTGGCAGGCCCGTGAGCATCCTTCTCGTATCTATGGGTGGGTCGCCTTCACAACCGCCCAAGTGGTTGGAGAAATCCCACCAGCAATCGTCGGAGCCGTTGTCTACTACGTGCTCTGGTACTTCTCCACCGGTCTTCCTACAGATTCATCCACGTCTGGCTACGTCTTCCTCATGACTCTTATGTTCTTCTTCTTCCAGGCCAGTTGGGGCCAATGGATCACCGCCTTCGCGCCGTCCTTCACGGTGATCGCAAATGTGCTACCGTTCTTCTTTGTCATGTTCTCGCTCTTCAACGGCGTCGTCCGACCGTACTCCATGCTTCCCGTCTTCTGGAAATACTGGATGTAAGTATTTCACCATTTTGTGCAAAACCAATCCGCTGACGACTCCTCAACAGGTACTACATGAACCCCTCCACCTGGTGGATCGGCGGCGTCCTGGCGGCAACCCTGCACAACCAACCCGTGCAATGCACGACGCAAGAATCCGCGCGCTTCGACCCGCCGCCCAACCAGACGTGCGCCTCCTACGCCGGCGCCTTCGCCGACGCGTCGCCCGGCCACCTGCTCAACCCGGACGCCACGACCGACTGCCAGTACTGCCCCTACACGACTGGCGACGACTACCTGGCCACCCTCAACATCAGCGCCGACGACAAGTGGCGCGACTTTGGCGTCTTCATGGCCTTCGTCGTGACCAATTGGGCGCTCGTGTACTTCTTCGTGTACTCGGTGCGCATCAAGGGGTGGAAGTTTGGTTTCGGGCTGCTGTTCGGTGGCTTGGGCAAGGCAGTGAAGAAGGCGACGGGCCTGTTCTCGAGGAAGAAGAGCGATAAGCAAGGGGACGAGCAGTAGAGCGAGGGGAGGTCGGTGTTGGGTTACTGTGCACCCCAAAAGTTTTTTTTCATGGATGGAGAAAAGCGAGGCGCGAATGTGGAGTTGAGAACTCCCGGATATCGCTTAACGGACTATCCTATTTTTGATGTTGGGATATTTATCGAGGTAGAATCAGGTAGTAAATGGGCGCAGTGGAAGTTAACATAGATCGATGAGATACCCGGATTGGCTTGGAATTTCACATTCTCCACACCGACGGGTTAGGAGTTTCATTTAATGAAAACTCGGTACATACATTCGTCACGTCAATGTAGGTGACGAAATAAGTTAAATCACCTGTATCTATCTTATATGAATAATGGAATCATCCCTGGGTGTATTTATACTGTTTTGGTGCTCGCATCTACATCTAGATATCTGCTTCAACTACCCACACAAAGGATCGTCGCAGGTAATTGACTAAGTCTCCCTCCAATGAGAAGGCATTACGATACAAAGGTAAAACTCACCACTACCGTCTATAGCAGCCTCCTTTCGCACCGCCCGGCCTGACCCGCAATATTGCTTTCGTCACTCGCTATGATGTCTTATTGTTCACGCATCAGCTCTGTTGCAGATCGATGCAATCGCATTGCCTATTGCATCCCTATCAAATGCTACCTCTTGTGGATATCGCATCCTGGATATCTCATCATCTATTTGTACACTGTGCAATAACTCCTCAGTTGATGATCCTGTAATACCCAGACCAAAATTGTTCCGTCCCTAGTTCAGCTCGACGAGCAAAGGAGAAAATTCCGAGGAGAGGAAAAGAAAAAGCAGGATTGAAGGAAACGACTAAAAAAGCCAAAGGTGTTTGTGCACCTTCCCTGAGCCCAATTAAGGAACCCCGAACGATGTTCGGAAAGAAGAAGCTTATAAAGAAGCCGAACCGAAAGAAAAGTTGGTAGTGATACACTGAAGCACGCTTGTCGTTGATGATAAAATCGTAAGTGCCGGAAGCTCTGGCACGCCGTGACCGCTGAGTAGAAATCTTGATACGCTCGCGAACGTCGTTAAGCCTGAGTAATGAGGGCCTGAGGTAGAGAACCGGGCTTGGAAATCTGGACAGAGTCCTTGTTCAGATTAACGCCACCCTCATCGTCGGCAACACTGCTGTTGGAGCTGGAAGAGCAGGTAGGTGCAGGCGTGGGAATGCCTTCGCGCATTATAGTGCTGGGGGCAACGGCCAATATCGAGGGGTTGCGGGGAGAAAAGAAGGACCTTGGAAGACTGAGACCGGAATCTTGCGGATCCTTGGAGGACATTGCGGAACGAGCTACAGGAAGGGTGACTGCAGAACCATCAGAAGAGGACTCGCGGCGCTTGCCGAAGACGTGTTTGACTGCGAGCGAGACGCTGTTGCGAACGCTGCGGCGGAAGGAGAAATCGTTGAAGTGCATACTTTCGTACATGCCCATGTCGTTCACTGGCTCGACTCGGTAGAAGGCCCGGGCTTGGGCAGACTCGCGGCTGCGGTGTTCATGGGCGGAGTCGGTGGTCCTCCAGGTACGGATGCTGTCTGCAAGATCGCTCTCTGCGGGCTCGCTGTCGTCGGGCTCGCTGTTCTCTGAGTCGGTAGGAATTGAACTTTCAATCAAGGGGGGAAGGGACTTCATGCCTATATCACGCATGACTCGGGCATCGCGGACAGGCAATGTAGAAATCTCGGCCGGGCGTAGAGGTTTCACCTCTCCATTAAGCACAGCATCGAAGGACTCAAAAGAACGGCTCTGAAGACAGTCGTGAGCGGTGGATCCCTCGCAACTTGGAAGAGCTTACTTACCCTGAAGTCAGCGCGGCAAGACTGGCAGCACTTGAACCTGCACCTGGGGTGAACGGTTCTCGCGTGCTTGGCGCGCTCCTTAGCCACGGTGGTTGCACTGGCAGAGGAGAGCTGGGCGCGGATTTCTTGGCGCACCAAGTTAGCAATCAAAGTGCGCATGTCCGTAGCTTCAGGCTGCTCGACATTACCTTCGGCAGCTTTGTCCGGGCTCTGGCCGTTGATGGTATCGAGGGCCTTCTGCTTTTGGCCAATGAGGCGGTCGATCTGCTCAGGCGTGTAGAGGCCGTTTTCAGCCTGGTCGATGACGGACTGGTGGAATTTGAGAGCCTTCATCACAGCAATGCGGTCGGAGGGATCGCAAGCATCAACAGCGGACTGGCGGCCCTTGACGGCGTCCCAGGGATCGTTGGCCTCGTCGTAGGTGCATTGCCAGACCCAACCCAAGGGAGACTTGCGGTTGCAGTTCTGGCAAGTGGCGCCGTAGGCGCGGGTCATGGTAACATGAGTGCAATGCGGGGTGTAGGGAGCGCGCGGTGGCCTGGGAAACTGCGACGCGTCCGGAATCTTGTTGGCCACAGGGGTCTTTTGGTGGTGCAGTCAGTAAATTGCTCTCAAGTGAGGTCGCGTGATGCACACCTGCTGTGCTGCCGGCGGCTCAGGGCCAGCCTTGGGCGGATCGCTGCCCGGGGCACGCTGGCTGTCGCGGATGGCAGGCATGGTGAGGCGAAGCGGGCGTGATCGAAGCAATCGGGTTAGAAGATCTGGCGCGGCGTGGTGTTGAATCGCGGCGGCTGGAGAAGTCGGCAAGGCAGAGGAAACAGGCGTGCGTGGGAGTGTTTCGCGGAGTCAAACAATGGGCTTGTCCATTCTGGGGCTTGCAAAGGAATGACAGCGGGCGGGTGGCAGAAGCAAAGGTGGAGAGTGGAGGATGAGTGGGCTGGTGTTGTGAGCTTGCCGGACGGGCAGGAGCGACGGGGGCTGGCGCAGTTGAATGCGCGACAGCAGGAGCAGCAACAGCACAGCGCCGCTCTCACGGACTAGTTGAGGTCGCAGGGAGGATGGGAGGAAATGAAGTGAGGCAGCAAGCAATTCGTTTTTGTCTTATCCAACTGCGCATTTCTTATCGCAATCCGGCATTCCAGTCCCGCGAGCATTGACGACAGAGCAACCAAGCTCCCAACACGCCGCCGCCCTTCGCTGGCATCGGCCGTCGCCGGCGCCGCTCGCCCTCACGACACCAGCCGGTCCGTTCGGCGCCTCCTCGCCGGCGTTGGTTGCAGACCGCGCGATGGCTGTCCGTCCTCACGAGAGCGCGCGCCGATCATCAGCTGTGCGGACACGCAAACGAGAGCAGGGCGGTTGGAGCGGACGGGACGCTCGGGCAGGACGCTCGGGCAGGACGTGCGGGCAGGGCGTCGAGGTGGCAGGGCGTCGAGGTGGCAGCAGACCGCCAGAGGATGAGTTGTGAGGTGCGAGTAAGTAGTATATCAGCAGCGAGGTGAGTGGTTTGTTGGCGATGCGCGTCTTCCCCGCATATTGGCGCCAACGCGCCGTCACCGTGCCCGTTCCATTTGCCGTCGCATCGCGCCAAATCCCGAAGGCTGGGGGCTCCTGCCTGCCTCGGCCGCCTCCGCCTCCGCCGCCGCCGACAGCTGCGCGCCCCGACAACAAACCTCCAGTCCTCTCTCCACCACGCTGCGCCCACCCCTCCGCCTGACGTCGCCTCGCACCCCTCGTCCCCGGCAACCCATCGCTCCGCTCGCTGATTCCCGCCATGTCGGTCAAGTTCGAGAAGGAGTCCGTCAAGACCTCCACCGGCACCTCCGCGCCCATCCCCAAGGGCGGCAAGCACGACGACCTGGTCCACGATGTCGGCGAGGCCCTGACCCGCGGCGGCGGCGCCAATGGCTACCTCCAGGTGCGCTCGTCCTCTGCGCCTCCAAGCTGCTGCACTTCCCGCTGATTCTGCCCCCCACAGGCCTACCTCAAGCAGCTCCAGAGCAACCCGCTGCGCACCAAGATGCTCACCTCGGGCACCCTTTCCGGCCTGCAGGAGTTTCTCGCCTCGTGGATTGCCCATGACCGCAACAAGGATGGCGGCTACTTCACCTCGCGCGTCCCCAAGATGGCCATCTACGGCGCCTTCGTCAGCGCCCCGCTCGGCCATGTCCTCATCCACATTCTCCAGAAGCTGTTTCAGGGCCGGACGAGCTTGAAGGCCAAGATCCTGCAGATTCTAGTTAGCAATCTGGTCGTGCGTCTGCCCGCTGGTCCCTGTGTCATTGTTGCGTGCTCATCCCGCTGATCATTGCGTCTTCAGATTGCCCCCATCCAAAACGGCGTCTATCTGACCTCGATGGCCATTATTGCCGGCGCTCGCACCTTCCACCAGGTGCGCGCCACCGTCAAGGCTGGCTTCATGCCCGTAATGAAGGTCAGCTGGATCACCTCGCCCGTTGCTCTTGCTTTCGCCCAGAAGTTCCTGCCCCAGGAGACATGGGTGCCTTTCTTCAACATCATTGGTTTCATCATTGGCACTTATGTCAACGCCCACACCAAGAAGAAGAGGCTCGCTGCTCTAAGGAGAAAGCACTACGGCGACAGCCGCAGCACCGTTGGCGACCGCGACGATTACGGCAGGCCCCGGTACTGAAGGCCCGCACACCATTGTCCAGCGCACATTTCCACAGCAAGGCGTCTTTAATGGCCAAAATAGAAGTGTTTTGGGTCTTGCGCTTTGATTTCCTTCACTTCCGAGGTGGGCGATCTCAGCGGTAGGCGACCGGTCGGAAACGACTAGGGTGGGAGGACTCCCGCCAATTGACCAATCGCACGTGTTCGGCCCCCCATCTTTGGCATGACATGGCGGACGATGTTGTAAATTTTCATGACTTTCCTATTCACTCCTCCTTGGCTGGAGCTACTTCAGTTATGAGCAGTCTAAATGATATATCCCCGCTGCCTTTTCCTTTTCTACGGATTCAGAAAGACTGCACTTGAACAGCAAAATCACTTACGCTTGCTGCGCTCTCTCCTCGTCTCTCAACAGTCGCTATTGGCGTTGCTTGCCGCACGGCTGTCTGGTCATTCTAATTGGAGCATCACTCCGTTTTCGGTGATCCGCTTCATCATGCTATTGCGAGGTGCAACATGTCTTTACGCCCGCAGATGACATCGCTTGGGTTGATCTCGGTGTAGATGCTTCAAACGTCCGCATCTCGCTCCAATGTGGCTTACGGTGTCTTTAGGTGCTGGCTGTCGGGCGTTTGCCCTCAATTGAAGGGCCGCGAAGCTGATAGACCACCTCGCTTCACTGCAGAGTTTGACAAGCGCTCGAAGTCACACGGATTTGTTTACAAACGAGCGTCTCCATACCATGCCAAAACTATTGACCAACGCATCCGAACCCTCTACCGAACAGTGCAATTTGGTACCAAGAAATCAATCAATGCCAGGAGGCATACTGACAGAAACAGTGTACAAATACCTGCCAGTCGGCGTTCTAGTTGCTCACGAGATCCAGATCCCACGAAATCATTCAGCACTACAATGAAGTCATATCCGTTCCTCAGTTCCCCTTGGGTCGACTCCGAATCCTCTATCGCGTCGTCCACATCGTCGTCATCCGATGAAAGTTGTGGGCACCCATCGGACCTCCGATACCGGAATGAAACCAAACTGAAATCGCATTCACTTTCCCCCTCAGCAGCCAGACCCCGCCGTCTTAGCCGCACAAATTCCAGCACAGAACCCGGCACCTGGAACATCTACTACGCTGTGGCCCGCTTGATCGACCACCTTCGCACGTTGCCAGCACCCTTGTGCTCTCCCAAGCGGACCAACCTCACCACACCCCCTTCCATCCCTTCTCCTGCAGAAGCAATCACTGCCGCCCGCAACTTCCCTATCTCGTCTCACGCATGGCGCTCATTCCCATCACTCATCTTCGCCTCTCTCAGCACCTCCGTCTTTGACGGCCTGCTGGACGAGCACGTTGTGAAGCTGGCGTGGACGAGCTTGGATAGGCATATTAGCGGGAGAACCAGGGTAATAGGAGGTCCAGAGAAGTGGGTTGGGGGGAGTGATGGCGCTGTAAGAGACGGGGCTGAAGGGAATGTGAAAGCCAAAGTGAAGATCGAGCTGAATACCGTAGTGCTGCAGAGTGCAAACAGGGACGAGATTGTGGGGACGCTATTGCATCACATGATTCATGCGTATTTGGTGGTTGTTTGTGAGAGTGTTGGAACGTACTCACGCTATTACGGTGGAGATGATGAGGATGGCGAAAGAGGGATTTCTGATGGAGAAGGGCAAAGACACGGCAGTTGTGACCAAGACGAGGACTGCCTTGCACACGGCAACTCCTTCGCCGCCATCTTATGGGAAATACGGGCCCAAGCCGCGAAATGCGAAGCAGACCGCGAACGACCGTTGCCCATTGGCTTCGGCCACAGGCTCCCAAGCGCTTTCCCGCAACGCATGGGCGATTCATCCCCTCACAAGTCTGTCCGGAGCCCTCGCAGCGTCAACCACAACACCAACAAGACCAACACCAAGCTCGCTGGCACTGCCTCCTCCTCCTCCTCCCCCTCCTCCTCTTCCGCTTCCCCCGACCATCATCCTCGCAACAGCACCCACTGCCCCGCCTCCGTGCCCGTCATCCCCCTCGACTCCGTTTCCGCCTGGTACGCAGCCGAGTGCGCGCCCTTCCTCGCCGCCGCCCCCCGCTGCATGCGCAAAAACCACCTCTACGCCTGCTCCTTCTCCACCACCAAGGGGGGCGGCGGCGGCCACCTCCACGCCACCTCGACGACGGGCCGCCCGGCGCCGTCCGCGTCCGTCGCCTTCGTGTACGACGGCGACAAGCCGATCGGCGTGCCGCGCGCCGCCGTCGAGCGGTTCAGGAGCCTGCGCGAGGATGTGTTCGCGGAGGGCAGGCGCCGCTGGGTCGAGTTGCCGCGACACGTCGGGAGGGAGGAGGAGGTGGGCGCGCTGATGGAGTTTTTGAGGGGCGAGACGTACCGTCCGGTGGCGGGGTGGTTGCGCGCCGGGTGGGCGGAGGCAGCGGGAGATCAGGAGGATGGGGCGTGTGGAGGGGCTGGAGGCGAAGGCCGGGCGCCTGTCATCAGCGCAGATGTCGGGACTCATCGCCGCCGCTGCCGCTGCCGCTGCCGCTGCCGCCGTCGTCGCAAGGCTCGAGGGTCTCGAGGGGATGCTCGTGATGTTGGCTCTGAGAGCGACGAAGAAGAGGAGGGGGAGGAAGAGGAAGATGATGATGTTGATGTTGATGTTGATAATGATGGTGGTCATTGTTGTCGTCGTCGTCATAAGCACCACAGAGCTCGCGCCCACCATCTCCTCGACATCCGCGTCTATCGCCTCGCCAGCGCCATCGGCTTCTTAGAGCTCGCTACCTATGCTATCAGGCGTTTGTACTCCCGCCGCACTCTAATGTCGGGCGAGGATCCGATCGAACTGCTCGAAACCATCTATTTCCCCAACAACGATGACGGTGGCAAGGAGGAGGTGCAGCAGCAGCAGCCGCCGCCCCAGCCGTTGCGTACTTGGGTACGGGCTTTCTTGTCCCGTCGTGAGGATGGGTATGGGTCGGGCATGGTCTCGAACATGACCAAGTTGCAGACGCGCAGTCAGTGGGAAAAACGGTGGCGTGCGCTTCTGGCCAGAAGTGGCAAACAAGGAGGACGGCCGCTACTTGAGGACGTGAGAGCGGCGTATTACATGCAGGATGGTGCAGCAGGAAGACAACAGCAGCGGCAGCCGCAAGGCATGCAGTATGTGGGTTATCGTCGGGCGTGGAAGCCTTGGTACACAGAAGATCCGATAGCTGAGGGCCCAGACGGTTCATCCGCTTTTACGACCGACGAAAGTTCTCACGGTGATGACAACCCCTCCGCGGATGAGGAGACAAGGCGACCGCCATATGATGAGTTCAACAGCGCCGCCCCAAGGCACAAACAGAGACTCAGTCCACAGTTATCTTCGGTGCAGCACAACGGATACATTCCACCTTTTCCAGGCTGGTGGGGTGGCCATGATTATTTGTATCCCTACCCGTATTCATATCCTTTCCCACTGTCGCCATCCCCTGCTCCTCGTTTCTTCCAGTACTATGGAGCTCCCCAGCCATATGAGTCGCCACATCAGCAGGTGCAGCCGCAGTCTCAATCAAGACGCAAAAACAGTGCGCCTCAGTCCTACTATGCGGCAGCTGATACAGCAACCACAATGTCTTCAGTACCGACAGACGAGGAGACTGCAAAGGGATGCTACGCAGCTGCCAAGGGAGACGAGGAAAATGGACGTCAACGAAACCCCACGCAGCGTACTTCCAGTGACGGGAGTCGCAGACGTCAAGCACAGAAAAGGTTCAACATGGAATGGAGGCCGGGAGCGTTCCCGGAGAGATCGTGGTGAGACCAAAAGGGCAAGGAGTAACGACAGTAGAGGCTGATAGGCTCCTAAGATCAGGAGACCGACTTGTAAATCAGTGACGGGAGACCAAAAGTCGATCGTGATGGGTCGGGAGACTCAAGGTGGGAGGGCCGGGTAGTGATACCAGGATAACCATGGAGACATTATTGTACAAGGGAGACCGGTAGAAACAGTGGGCTTGTGGCTTATTTTGCGTTTGATGGCTGTCGGCAGGCAACAGCCCTAAGTGTCGGGTACGATGATTTTTTTTCCCACGCTTCTTGACAGTGCCACTGCGTAAGCCTGTGAGGGTGGCACTGAGACCTACCTGGGTAGCACGGCTGGGGAATCTCGCCGTCCTTTTTTTTTTTTTCCTTTGGCATCCGCGAAAGCAAGAACCCGCATAATTCTTGCATCACAGATGCACCACAAGCACTCAACAGTGGGGCTATCAAAGACATATAGGCGTGATGTCTGGAGGATTGCTTTTTTCTTTCTTTCGCTTCAGCTTGATTGCATGCAAAACGATTGGCGTGCGGGAAGATTCAAAAGCATCAAATCTGCAGAGATTGGAGCTATGAAAACTGACTTGCGTTGATACACGCTGTCGAGTCGACGTCCTGCGATGCAAAGGTGACATGCATGAGCGCCACAGACATGCTCCGCTGCTTTTTCTTTATTCTTGTAACACGAACGGCATGTGGGTAGCGGGAAACGATGAGCCGAGCACACCGTCCGTAAGCCCAATCCCTCATTCTCCCACTCACATGCTGGCGCGTTCCGATACGATGGCCGGTAGGTTGAATCCGAAGATGCCGTCAGACCGACCAAGGCGAGGGTTTCACAACCCGAGCACCCATACCTGAGGCGCGCCGGTAAATGTCTGATAAACAGTGTGCTACTGCGGGCCTATTCTTGTAGCATTTGCAAAAGGTCTGGGACATGCCGTGGTCGCGGAACGTCGAGCATGTTACTATTCATCCCTCGCATCATTGTGTGTTTTCGGCAGATTCCGAGCAAGGGTGCCGAGGAGCGGTTATGTAGGAACGAGGCCGATGGGGGTCGATCGCCACTCTCCTTCCCATTTCCGCCAGCCACCCGGGCATGGCTGAATCTTTGCGTCAGCGGATGGGGCCGCCGAGAATTCCACACTGCTGCTAAAAATGTCAACGATTGCCTCGCTTCGTCGAGGAAACGCGGGAAAGGAGGCTGGGTGCCCGTACATGGCATCGCGCATCTCTTCGTCTGATTGGGACTCAGACACGGCATCGGATTTGCAGGGGGGCTCTGTTGGGTTCCCCTCGCCGTCGGATTGAGCTTCGGGAAGGGTCGCCTCAAGGATCGGTAGCCACTCGTCCTGGAAGTCATCGTCCCCTTCCAAAAGTAACTCCTTGGCAAGCTTCTTCGACCAGTAGCTCGGCTGGGTCATGCACGCAGTCATGGTGGTCGACCACAAACCCTGCCGCACGTCGCCTGAGCAAGACGACGACCACGGCTCGCTAGTCAAGACATGGAGGATCCAGCTGTACATGGCAGCCTTGAACGCATCGGACTTGGCATCGGCTTTGGATGGCTGAAGCATGTACCGGAACATGTGCTCGACTAGAGTCTCAACATATTGCAAGTCGGAGTTCAGCCGACACAGCAGACTGTCCCAGATTAGGTGCGCACCGTCCAGGGAGCCGCCAACCCTGTCGTTGGTGGTCAGCTTCGCAGACCGGGAAGCATGCAGAGAAGCCGCGCGGTACCCACCTGGCATCTGAAGGCACAATCATTCGACCAGCAAGGAGAAGCGAGATTACCTCATCACGGAGCAGTTCTGGTCTCTCCACGGCCCCTAGTGCCATAATCTGCTCGCTGGCTCTTCCACTCGAGCGGGACTCTACGCCCGACTTCGGGCCGTCTCTTTTGATTTCCTCGCGCCTCCCACCGACGAAGCTTCTGAGAATGCGGTGCAGACTGGCGCGGATCCTAGGGCCCGTGGCGTGGTCCCTGTCTTCAGGCTCAGGCGGCGGCGACGGCGGCGGCGGCGGCGCAGGCGGCGGCGGAGCTTCGAGCCTCGACCAGTAATGGTGCCACAGCCACTGCAGCGCCTGTTCGGTGGCCATCTGCAGGCGGCGCAGCGAGGGCAGGTCCTCGTGCGTGGCCTCATGGCGCAGCTCGACGAAACTGGTGGGCATGTCCAGCTCGGCGGCCATGTCGTACATGGACATCTTCTTGAAGCTGTTCTGCACCGTGTCGCAGAAGCCGGTGACGAACCTACGGGGCGGGCGGGAGAAGTGCATCAGAGGCGGAACGAGTCACGGCCGGCCGGGCACAGGAGGAGAGAGAGCTAAGCGCATACCGGTTGAAGGCGGCGCAGTAGGCATTGCGGATGGCCAGGACCGAGGCGCGTTGGGGATCGTCGTGGAGCGTGGCATCAACGAGCTGGGCGGTCGAGTCAAGAGCATGCGGCAACGGCGCTCGTCTCTTCCACGCGGAGATCTGCTTTGGGGGTGAGCACGGCGCCGTCATCATGCAGCGGGGGCCAGGCAGGGGCCACGCACCAGGAGGACGGCGTTCTGGCGGTGCTCGGGGCCGGCATGGTACAGGCGGTCGCCGAGGGCGAGCAGCTCGGCGTGCTGGCGCCAGGGGGTGATTTGGAAGCGCGGCATGGCCGCTGCGAGGGGTTGCTGAGCGTGTGCGCGCGCACAAGGCGGGCAGGAGGATGTGACCAAATTTGCGTGGTCGGGCGGGTGCGCGCTCAAGACAGGCGTTGGCGGCTAGCAGGCGGGCCGTCAGTCAGGCAGTGTGCTGTGCTGAATTAAAGAACGCGCTAGGCTAGGCCGGCCGCGCAAGACTCGCCTTCCAGACGACACGCTGATGAGATTGCCAGGAGCCCACTCGCTCACTCGCTGGAGGATGCCGCCACGCACACCAACCCCTCCCTGGCTGCAGGCCCGGCCCATGCTGCCCGCCCCGCCATGCTGGATGCTGTTTCGCGTTGTACGACATTTCCTGCGCAGGCACACGACCGGAGCCACCCCGGCCCCCGCCATACGCAGCCCGCCTTTTTTCCACAGTCAGACGCAAATCCAGCCGGCTGGAGACATCAGCCAAGCCCCAAGCCGCGGGCGTTGCACATGGCCAAAGCCCGTCCCGCTGCCGCAACCAGACCCACCCTCGCAGCAAACTATCAGTTTTCTTTTGGCTCGCTCTGAGCCCTGCCCTGCATGACCGACCCCTACCCATCCAAGCGTTCGCCCGCTCCACCCACATTCCCGAGCCGTGCGTGACCTGAGCGTTGCTTTGGGACTATCGTATTGTAATTTTGATTTTTTCGCTATCTACCAACACTGGTGGGGTATCTGTAAATGCCGTCCTCAGCCCGCCCAGGGCCTGCGGAGGCGAGCGCGCACGGACAAAAGTCCCGAAAACGCGGCTCTGAAACCAGCGGATACACAAAACGCCAATCGCTATGCTATGCTATGCTATGTGGTCATCATTCCTAGTACTGAGATTGCAGCCAGCCGTAGCCCAGTCCAGCAACCGGTGCCGTGGGCCGCTTCAGCTGCTGGTACCACCATTCGTTCGTATACGTTTCTTCGTCCTCGGGCAGGAAGCTCTGTCCTGAGAGATCGGCTGCCGGCATCGCTTGCGCTGCCGCCTGCAGCGTCCAGCATTGCCGCTCCGCCTCCTCGCCCGCCTTGGCCGGCTCCGGCGCCTCCTCGATGCTCTCCTCGTCCGAGCTGTCGTCGTCGTCGTCCTCGTCGTCGTCGTCGTCGTCTTCCATCTCCGACGGGGGCTGCCACGTCTCTTCGAGCTTGAGCCCCTTGCCCAGCCCCGACGTCAAGATCGACTCGTAGCTGGGCGGGTCGTAGAGACCCATGCCGACGAGCACGTTGCCCGACTCCTTGGGCGAATCGTCTTCCATGCAGTCGGCATCGGCTTCCGGGTCTTCTGTTGAGCCGGCCTGGGGTTGGGGGTGGCAAGTGGAAGCTTGGGCAGAAGTCCAGTCTTGCTGAGAGGTCATGTCCGGAAATGATGTAATTTGAGCAGAGGGCTCGTGGTAGTCCGGGAAGGGGGAGGTGTCCATCGACGTATCGTTGTCGAGGGTTGCAAGGGGAAAGGTCTCTTGTTTGCGTTGCGCCAAGGCCGAGAGGTAGGCCAATGCCGAGTTTGAGGCGTAGCCAGAAGCGGGACTAGGGTATGCTGACGCCTGATCCGGGAAACCGTAGCCACCGTCTTGGCTGGCGAGGTCATTGGCTGGACTCGAGTTGAAGTAGTTGGAGGATGACGGGTGCCAGCTAACGGGACGGTTCGATGACGAGAATCCGCTCGTAGTGGTGCTGTCTTGCATCTCCTCGTCGCCCGAGCCGAACATCATGTTCCAGCGGTCCTCCAGCGTGACGTAGCGCTTCGCGGCCGAGGTGGTTTTCCGTCTCTCGAGGCCGGTGGGGCTGCCGTGGACGGTGCGCGGCTTCTCGATGCGAGACGACCGCTTGGAGGAGGAGCCGCCATGGGAGATCCTCGAGTCCCGGTGGGAGGAGAGGGGAGAGGTGGAGGTGGTGGAGATTGGCGAGTAGTCCATGCTTGGTGTGTTTGTGTTGTGTTGGTCGGGTGCTGTGTCCAAAAGGCCTTCGTAGGAGGAGGCTGACCATGGAGATAATTATATGGGATGGATGCCAACATACGTGTTCGGCGGGGACAAGGGGCTGAGGCAGCTAAAAGGATCGTTAGGTCGGAAGCCCGCTCAGACAGACGAGTATTACTCCATGTGTCAAGGTTCGGTGGGTAGTATACGGCGGCTCGTGGGCTGTACTAGGGTCATGTACCCTCGGTGGAACTCCCGGTTCACAGCTGGGGCCAGGCCTGCGCAGGTCGCCCGTTCTTAGCGGAAATCCCATTTACGGGGATGGCAGCAGGCGTGCGCATCGTCAAACCGACTAGCTGGGCGCAGGTAGCCGGTGTGGCACGGGCTGGGGGGGGCTTGGGCAAGCTGATCTTTAATCATGATCGTGGATGCAGCCGACGAAAAACTAACGACAGCCGAATCAGCGGGCCAGCCGGGGAACAGTGCTAAGGCGGGCAAGCGACGGAGGCGGCTTGATTGCGCGGGTATGTATCATGGCGCAACGGAGCTCCTTGCCGCACGCGCTGGTTGGAACCTGTGCGCTAGGCAGGAGGCGCGAAAACACCACCCGCGCTGCGGGTAGGGATGTGCGACGGAACTGGGTAGGGTGACGAGAGGTGAGAGAACCGACGGCTGCACGCCGCGCAGTCAGCTACCGACCTACCGCATTCGACGCATGACGATGGGGGCCGTGGCTTGTGAGGGAGCGGTCAATCGCGGCGCGGTGGCACTAGGTAGGCATGGGCGATGTTCGAGCAAGGACGATCGCGCATGAGGCTCGGCAGGCGACTGCCCACGCTTTAGCCGCGCTGGCGAAAGCGAGCTTGCGAGCTTGCGAGCGTGGTGTGGAGGGCCAGGGCCGGGGGCGCGAGCCAATGGCGCGCGCACGATGAGCCCTAAAGATCTGTCCGGCGGCCGGCAGGGCGCCAAGGGGTCTTTGGCTGCTGGGTCTCGGGGCGCGCGGTATTGGTGGTCGAGGGTGTTGGCTGGGACGCCGGCTGGGATCCGGGGCTACGACGCTAGCAGTAAGCGTTGCCATTGGACCTATGATAATTCTGGAAGCCTGCGCGACAGGGATCTTGCCTGCGTGCCAGGCGTGGTGGGCTCCTGCACCGGGCCTTAAACCGAGCGCGGCCCTTGTCGGGCGTGTGGTGCAGGATCGCATCCTTGGCTTGGGGTTGCAACGGCCGTGCCACACGCTCGACGGAGATTGAGACGGCCCTTGCCGGCGCTCAGCCGCTGCGTGCGAGCTCGGCTGCACGGCGGCCCAGGCGCCTTCGTCGCTGCGAGTGGAGTCTGAAACGGCCAAAATGCTGATTGATTGAAAGCCGCACGTCAGCCGGATCAGCCGCCGTCATGGCCCTCCGCCGAGCGGTGAGGGGCGACGCTGCGGAGGGCGCCCACGAGCCTCGACGCGCGCGCGCCCACGCCGGCCGCAAGTCCGCGCGCCGGATCAGGCGGCGTGCAGCAGCAGCAGCAGCGCGCAGCGGGAGCCCAGGTACGGCGTTTCACTGGCACGTCGACAGCGCGGCCAATGCCGCCGAGCGCAGCTCGGTGCCGTCTCACGGCGTGGCTTGCTGATGACTCTCGTACATACATATGTACTCCTGGTGGACGTGAGCCGTCGAAGCGCCGAAGGGCTGTCTTCCCCTGGCGCGCACCCGGCCGTCGATCGGCCGGTGCAGCGACAAGCTGCATGGACGTGCGATCTGGGGCTCCACTGGAAGGCTGCTCGCTTGGCTTGCTCCTGTGTGCTGGCTGACAGGCTGACGCAAGGCGCCCGACCCGCCGCGTCCAGCGCATTCCACCGTAGCGTGGTACGAGAGCTAAAGAAGACGCTTGCCCTGGGGCTCGCGCGACCCATGCCCGCGCCGCATTGGCAAGGTCTTTTGCTGAGCGTGCCGCGACCATTGAGATCTGCAGGGTCGGCGGCCACAACTCACTCGAAACCCAGGGCTCTCAGCGCGGCCACGGCGGGCGACTGACTCTGCCCGATATGCCATCTCCGTCCGCAGCGACGATCCAGCGTCATGGCATCATGCCCGCATGCCCCGACAAGTGGGACAGCGGGCGGCGGTTTCAGTGAAACGCTGTTGCTCCACCTCATCAGGAGGCGCGAGGCCGCCCTCGACAGCAGCCCGGCAGGCACGCACGCACGCCCGGCGGGCGGCAGACGGCGAGGCGTGAGGCAGCACCTGCGCAGCGTGTGTCGGCGGCCGGTGGTGTAGTCGCACCGCAGGTGGGCAGGGAAGATGACGTACGGCGGCGGCATATGACCGAACGGCAAGCAACGTGGCTGTGAGGGCGATGAAGCTCGCCGCCGCCGCCGCATCAGGCAATGCACCCGAAAGTCTCCGCCCTCTTCCGTGCTGCTGCTGCGCAGAAGATGGATCGGTTTGGCGGTGCACTGGGGGCGGCTTGTGCTTCCCTTCCGCGGCACATCCCGGCATGGCCCATGCCCGCGCCACGAAAGGCCTTAAGCCTCAATGCGGAAGTCCAGGTCCAGACCTCGCCCAAGTGAGCAGCCCGTCCCATGGCTAGCGTCATGTAAGAGGGCTGGCAGTAGTGCGAGTCATTCACCGAAGAAAGAAGTCGCTTCCTCGTGTGGCTCCAACAGGGCTCTTCTTCAACAAGCGCATGCCATGCCTGCCCACGCGCAGCCCGTTGATCCTCATCTTCCGCCTCGAACCTTCGACCTGCCGGGCGCTCGACTCTCCTCCGCCGCTCACTGGCCGTGCCCCCGGCCTCCGGCCGCCGCCATTCGCCCGCTCCCTGCGTCACGGAGCGCGTCGCAAGGCCAGAGCCGTGGCTGCGCCGGCCACCAATAACCCACCCTCGCCCACGCAGGCCGCAACTCGCTGCCTGCCGGGCGTGCGGTCATTTGGCAAAGCGCTTTGCAGCAGCAGCGTACGCGTCCACCGACACACGCGAGACCCATCACGGCGCGGCGAGCAACAGCCGCCGAGCAGCATGCCAATCCCAGATCCTTCGCCTGCCAATACGGTCGCCCTGCCGGAGCACATCCTTTGTGGAGTTTTTTTTTTTTTTATCAACCGCCGACGTGCCGGCGCAAGGCATGGCGATGGACGCCCGAGGCCCGACTGGCGACTGGCGTGCGCCGTACCCACTTGAGACGTTGCATGGTGGCCAGACACACGGCTCGCATCCCGCAGAAGCGCTGATCTTCCAGCGTGCGACGGCTGCAAGAAATTTCCGCCGCTCAAGCCGCCGCCGAGTTGCGGGCAGAGCAGTGGCACGCAGGCTGGAGAGCGCTGGCTGCGTCACGCACGGCTGACGCTCGCTGGCAATATTGGTGCGGGTCCGCCATGGCTCGTCTCGTACGGGCTCGCTGCGTGCGGCCGGCAAGTCGTTCCTTTTTGCCCGGCGGCGCCGGCGACGTGCAGCCATGACGGGCGCTGATTGGGCGGGCGACGGCTGCGGCGAGAGGGCGACTCGCGGCTGCGACGCCTGCGACACCGTCGAAGCTGGTGGCCGGCTGTCAGTCGGGCCTCTGCTCCTCGACCTGCTAGGCTTGCAACGGAGCCGACGTCGTATCTGCTGGCGGCCGCCGAGGGCGCCATTGATCTGACACGGCGCAGCAGCCGCCGAGGGCACCCAACCGCCACGACGAGGCATAGAGCACAATATCAGCTGCCGCACGCGTTCGACATTGACGACCGGGCACCGCCGAGGTTTTGCCCCCTGATGGAACATGGCAAACCAAGGGGCGGCGGCCGATCGCAGACAGTGAAGCCACGCGGCACAGCACCGCGGAGCCTTGGTCATGCTGCACCACGGCGGCTCACCAGGCTGCTGCCGGGCGACTGCCAGGCGGCGCCTCTCCTCTCACACGTCGTGTCGTGGGACGGCCGGCGTTCCGAAGCGCAATGCACGCTGCTGGGGCCCAGGGTGTGTAAGTACAGGAGGGCGCAGGCAAGAGGGGCGCCGTCTAGCGCGCGTACGCGGAGGTGCTGACAACCATGGGCGTCCTCCGTACCGTCCGCAGGATTCGAGACGGGCCACCGCCAATCGCGCACCAGCCGGCTAATTCTTTTTCGGCCCTGACTCTCATCGTACGGCGCTTTGCCTCGCAGCCAGCGTGCCAGCCAAGCTTCACCGCCACTGGCCGCCGCCGGCCCCGTGTGCCCGCCTGCCACCCATGGGACGAAAACGCTCGACGTGCAGATGAAGATGGCTGCTCGGCGCCCACTCACCGACGGCCGCTCTCGCGCCCGCGCCCGTCACGCGGCCCTGCAAGGCCATCCCGGCCACCACCTTCGCCGAGATCATCACGCTGCCGTCCCCTAGCTACCCCGCCCGCACCGCGCACTAACGAGTGCACCCTCTCGCATTCCCGGCTATTTACCTCAGGAATTCCTCCGCACCGCCGGTTTCTCTTCGTCACCATCTTTTCTTACGCTCATCAGCTCATCAGCTCCGAGATGCACGACCAGTCTGGCCCGCCGCTGTCGCCGGTGGCAACACGGCCCGCACTTGCTTCTGTGCCCATTTGTCCGGTTGCGTCTGCCAGATGATCGTCCTGCTAGCCTGCGCCTCAGCCGCACATGCAATGTTAGTCCGTAAGAAGTGCTGCCTGCTTCACGTCATGGCCTTGCTGCTGCATCCGAAGCTGCTGCAGCTGCTCGCACTAACTCGCAACCCATCACATCCACCACGCTACTGGCCGTGTTGTGGGGTGTTGGACACGATACATCCGTCCAATTGGCCCTTTCCTATTCCGGTTTTGCATTCATGAACAACTGAAGCACATCGACCATCGTGCAACGTCCCAGTCCCTTGAAGCGCCTCGGACTGCCTACAACACCGCCTTACGGTCAACGTGTCGCCTGCTAACTCGAGCAGCCTGACACAGCGCCCCAGTCGGTCCCGCCACCGTGGTATCTCTCGATCTATTAACATCTCCGATCGTTCACCAAGCCCAGGTGGACATCCCTGCC